ATATTTGCATGAGAACAAAAATCGTTTTCATATCAATGGCTTTGCACTTCCCCTCGCTTTGAAACAGAGGCTTGAGAGAACACGAAAATAACCTATTACAAAAGCTTACAGAGGCAAACTTTCTTTGGCATAGGTAAAACTGGGAGAGGGAAAGCGGAAAAAAACTTTAGTTAACCTTGCACTGTGATTGGCCTGTTGCAGAACAGGTGTAGAATAGACGTCCCTGACAAAAAAGAAAGAGTTTTTGATTAATACATGTACAAATAAATAGTCATCATCTTTGACTAGTTAAATCATGCAATCCAGGACCTGTAGGGCAAATATAGTGGGCATGCTAAGAGTTTCAATGTGACAGAGAGTGATTGAATGAATAAAAGCACGATATTTATTAAGTGCGACACTTTTTATGTTTCAATAGGAAGATATATATCACTGGTATTTAAAACTACAAACTACCGGAAATGAAAATGTGAGTTTACTGGGGTGAGCTTCTGAATGTGAGCTATAAGATCTTGAATTTTCAACATCTTGCAACCGAGAACTTGATAAGATGCTAAAAAATTCAAGATCCTTCTTGCAAGATGTTGAAGATTCAAGATCTTACGGCGAGATGTTAGAAAATCAAGTTCGTGAATGTTAGATGTTGAAAATTCAAAATTCTGATTCTGTGTGGCTCTTAAAAAGTCTAACCTTGTTTGGGCCATCCTTTTTTACTGCTCTTAAACGAGCCTGACCTGTCGACAGTCAATTCAAAAAAGTTGAAAAATGAAAAAAAAGTTAGTGCAAAGATTAACGTGGGCTAGAAACTAACCAAAGGTAAGCCTTATTTGGGTAACTCCCCGTGACTCAAGCAGTAAGTGACGTAACGAGTGACAATGCACTTCTTACATTCATAACATTCTTGATAGAAGTCCACAAAATGTGAAAATGCTTTGAGCAACCTGGACCCCGTTGTTCAAACGTTGGACAGCGCGATCAACCGGATAAGAATTAGAAAAATTAATTACGTGATCCGCAGGATAGGGATTTAACTAGTCGATAGCGTGATCCACCCTTCTTCGAACAACTGGCTGGACCTTATGATTGCGAGACCCTCTTAGTGTCTCGCAAATACATGCTTTTCTTTTATTTGTGGATTTTTCTTTTCGTTTTAAGACATTACAACTTCCAGTAAGAATTACTTTTGGCTTCACTCAAGGCTCATTCTGTTCTTCCTCTCTCGGGGAAAGTTATTATTTTTGTAAAAAAAATTGCGCTGAGAAAGCAGACCAACAGAAAACCGTTAGGTATGGTTCGGAGAGAGTAATAATGGAGCGAGAGGGAAACGCCCAGTCTAGCCCTTGGGAATTGTGAATTTCACCAAAGTTATTAGAGGTATCCCGGGTCAAACTCATACTACTAGTGTAAATTTGTTACCGTGGTGACAGCTGGGACCATCTGAAGTCTGACGATTACCTACAAGAAATTAATAATTTTCAAAAATTTTTCATCAGAATAATAAAAATCCATTCGATTTATGGTCATAAAGGAATAGTCCAGTTTCGAATTAAAAATCACCGCTGAATACAAACATTAACGACACATTCATACAGGGTTAGCCTCGACGTAAAGTAAAATATTCAGAAAATCTGGCAAGTAAGTGTTTGAAATTTGAATATACACAATAGACAGAGTAATAAACAGGCCCCAGTCGTTTAAAAGCTGGATAGCGCTTTCCATCGGATAAATCACTATCCATTGGATAAATATTAGGGAAACCTATTGCGCTATCCACTGGATAGTGATTTATCTAATGGATAGCGCTATCCACCTTTTGAACAACTAGGGCCTGGTCTTTTTCTCGTTGGAATTTGTTGATATATTACTTCAGACTGAGGCAAAAAATGCGTCTTTACTTCTTTAATTCAGCAGTCATAGCGAACTCGAAAATGGGCTATTTAGTTGCTGCCTTACTGGTTACCATAAAATGCAAAGGAGTTTTAATAACTCATTCCTAACTTTTTTGATTAGTACTACGATATGACAAGCGTTTAGTCTGTTATTTATCGCACAGTCAAACCCTGTTAAAATGGACCACGAGGGGGCCATAGAAAGTTTCCGTATTAACGGGGTGTCCGTACTAAGCGGGTCAAATTTAAGAGAAAATGTAAGGGCTTTCTTTCCCCAGGGACAAAGCAAACTGTCCGTAATAATGAGGTGTCCGTATTAAGCGGGTGTCCGTAAAGCGGGCTGTGAGTACAATGAAGACGGGTTCTTGAAGAAATTTAATCCATTAGTCACGAAGATTGAGTTGTATGTTTTGAAGTTTATGCTTCATGGTTTTACTGAACTTGACGAAAAAGCAGTCAGTATCGTCGTTCCCAGGGCTTTTCGGCCGCTTTCAGAGAAAAGTCCTGGGAACGAGGTTGGTATAATCGCAGTACAGTACCTTGCTGATTAGTATCAAATCCTGAAACATCAACTTTCTGCAGGGCAGAGTGGTAGGAACGAGCCAGTTCAAATAACACAATATTCAGGTGCTCTGTTATAGAGACAAAGATTAGAGAGCAAAGTTAATTAGGATTGTCTCATGTATTAAAGAGGCAAACGAAAAGAAGGACTATCGCTGCACCGTTATCGCCAGGTTTGTCCCTCTTACACTTTACACCTCTGGATTTGCGCAGTTGGAAAATACCCCGCCCATCTTCAGTAAGAAAAATTCCAACTCAAGCGATTCCCCATGAAAACTTTACTTCATTCCAAGGTCGTGGCTATTTGTGGCGAAAATTCTACCCCCTGTTAAACCAATTATTTTGACCAAAACTAAAAAGGATTCATTGATCAATGACAATAGGAGCGTGCTCCTGTGAACTGCATTCAGCTCACCTCTTAAAGCGGCCTTGAAGACTTGTTTATACTGCATGACATCTTCAAATGTTACCGGAACGGTGATTTGTCTGGTTGGAGTGACACTACTGTCACATTCTTCTGCAGTTGGGAAATACAATTGACCCGCCATACTTCGCTGTAAAAGAGAGGGAGAGAATAGGGTTTGTTTTACTTTTGTGATTAAACATCTCACATGTTTGGGATTTTTTCTAGCGAGTGAATTTGTCTATGTTAGAATGAAAAAACTCCACGGCTCTCTAAGCGTATAAATTTTGGAACGATTTCATAGTGGATGATCGCATGTCAGAGCTTTTATCTTGTCCAGAGAAATTACGTAAGTACGTTTATTAAAAATATGCACAGCTCTCGGCTTTAAGCATTCCATAGCTATTCAAAATCAATTCTAATTTATAAATCTGCAGAGTCAACAAGGTAAGACACAGGCGCTTTTGAGGAAGATTGCTTGTTTTTGGCCAAATAGAGCAGAACACTCCAAATTTACACTTGGGTATTCCACAGGACACCCAACCAAAGAATCACCAGGAGAAGTTGAGGGAGAGGTGGGTAGGGGCCATGGAGTCGTAGGCCACGACACATTAGGGAGCTTAAGCAACAACGATGGCGATGGATACGGAAACGTCACTTAAAAGTGGATTCGCACTGCTACAAACTTTATTGCGCTTATTCCATCTCGTTCGATTCGTCAAATGCTGTCAATTTTTTCCTGGAGATGAATTCCAAAAGACTGTATCGAAGTTCAGGAAAGGAGAAAGACAGTCGTTTTCTTGTGTTCCTGTCCTTCAAAAAACATGAAATTAGGTAATTTCACGTCGTAGTCGTGGAGTTGTTTTGCTAATCTATGCTTATTTCTTTTCGTTGCTAAAGCTCGCTATTAGGTAGAAGTCACTGCGGCTTTAAAAATCCGTAAAATTTCGAAAATAAGCCCCTCCGTGTATAAGCCCCTCCAAATATAAGCCTCCCAAACCGGCAACGCAAAAAACCCTTCGTTAAATCGCCCCTCAAAAAAATATATGCCCCCCGAGCATAGGCGTACGGGCCGGGGGGGCGAGGGGGGCTGCAGCCCCCCCAAATTTTGGGCAACTCAGATTTTTTGGGCAGCAAGAGAAAATTTGGGCATAGCCAGCTTTTAAAGAAGTTTCATGTTTTTTTTATTAGTATTTTGAAGAGATAAATATTTTTTATTTTAACCTGAAGTGGGCGTAATAATAAGTAAGTTAATAAGTTACATTCACACGAGACAGTGGTTGCCAAGCACGTGATGAGTTTCTGTTTATAAGGGAAGGGTTTTCTTTTATCGTTGGGCACCGTGCAGCAATGGGCTGTTTCCAATCGGGAATTGATTAGAATAAACTTCCGCCTAACTTTCTAGGATCATCTTCGCTCGTAGAACAGTGTATGGCAGATAGCATCAGCGATTGATTTGAAAGTGAAGAAGTGGCTGACTAATTCTCACTTTTAATTACGAGAAGAATCCTAATGTTTTTAAAAAAATCTATCAAGTGGTTCAAATTATTGACTAATTTGTTAAAGTAGACCGAAATGTTTAAAAAACCGCTAACAAGAGCGCCATGATACATACTAATCAAATCCTTCTTTGTAGCAATTTTGAAATATCACTCGTGATATTTAGCCAAATATCACTACAAATCATGTTATTACCTATACAAATAACTCACATACATTTTTAAAAAGATTGAACCTACTATGAGGTGAAATTGCATGTCAAAAGCGCTCCGTTTTCTACAGATAGCGGCTAAACATCAAGATTTTCCTTGTTTTACTGTATTTCTAACGATAAAAACTTTATCCCATACTATCCCGATAACGCTCTTACAGATTCCGTTTTAACGTCACGAACAACGAGGCGACTATTGGAGGAAAAAGCTCCCAAGAACGATTTCACAGTGAGAAATAATGCTGCAAGTATAATAGCTAATGGCGTCATTTCGTTGCTATGACAACTCCGATGTCATTGCAACCCTGATCATGACAAATTTCATCTTTATCTAATACAACTGTGGTGGCAATTTTTCCAAATGTTTGTTCATGGCAACGTATAGTTTATGCTCAAACTTGGCAGGTATAAATTGACCCTGAAAAACTGTATTGCGGCACTTTCTTATGCCAGTACGGCCTATGTTGTTGCATCGTATGGCTCTTGTTTCTTCTCGACTGTTTTGTAAAAATTTGGGCAACTTGCAAGAGTTTTTTGGGCAAATGGTTTACCGCCCCCCCTGGCCGAAAATTGCCCGTACGCCTATGCCCCCGAGGGCTTGTACTTGGAATATTGCCGTCAAATACAAAGTAAAACAAAGCAAAAAACGGTACCTTCAACTGTAAGGCTAGCCTAATCGATTTTGAAAGGCAAATTTCCATCCATGGATAAGCCCCTCCGAATATAAGCCCCTCCAAAAATAAGCCTCTCAACAAGGGCCTTTGAAAAATATAGGCCCCGGGGCTCATTTTCGGAATTTTATGGTATAAGAATCAATACACCTGCAGTCCACTCTAGTGAGCACACACAATGAACCGAGATCGAGGCTTGTAAGGACAATTTCATACAGATCACTGACTTTTGTTACCCAAGCCTCGGGTTGGTGTCTTTGTTGACATGCAGGAATACTGGAGCGGTCAAAACTTAGTCAAAGGCCGTCAAACGTAAAAGTAAAAAAGGAAAAATTACTTACGTTACTGGATAAAGTGCCAGCCATGTAGCTGGGGACCGTTGGAGGCCTGTATCCATCTTGTTTTCCACGAATCTCTTCTCTCGCCTGACAAAACTCTTGCTGATTCTTAGGAGGTTCGCGTGATTTTCCCAACCCCACCCTCCTGAGGCCAACCCGTCGACACGAACCAACTGGGGCTGAATTTTCCTTGTTCTCCTTTACAGCTAGCTCTGTACCACCAGATAGTGATTTGGATTCTCCAGGAAAAGCTTTTAAGACATTGCTGAATTCAGAGTAATGTTTAGTGGGGTACATCCCGGCGGAAGGGATCTTGTGAGCTGGTGTATTCTCAGGAACTGTCTGTTGTATGCGATGATCTTCACGCGGGGCAGTGAATATTGGAGCTCGTCGCTTGGACTGGAAAGAAAAGTGAATACAACCAAACTTCCATAGTACACCGGTAGAGTCAAGTGTCCGCACAACAGAGGTAACTGGGTTATAGAGGCATTGATTGTAAGTTTGGAGTCTTTGGGAAAAGAAGAGGGGTCTGTATTAGATAGCTGTCCGTAACAGGAAGTTCGACTGACAAAACAGTGAAACGAAGCAGCGTCCATAAAAGCTACGTCCGTCGTATGATAACGTAGTCAAGTGAATGAACAAGAAATAATCCAGGATGTTCCGGGATATCTGACACGAGTAGGAATGTTTTATCTAATATCCAAACACCAAGAAGTGATGTATCAAACACGAGGAATGTTTCATCTGATATCCAAACAGATCACACTAGAAAGAGTGTTTTATCTGATATCCAAACACCGAAGTGTTGAAAGGAGACGAGTGTTGAAAGGAGACATGCAACTCAGTTGCTTATACATGAAACTGATTACGAGGTATCTGATTCTAGATAATGCATAAAACACTGTTTTGACAGTTTGATACACTTGTAACTCGAATGAATAATAATTCTTCTAGAAATACAAATATAAAGTTCGAAAAATTTATGAAAACCAGCATTAAATTTTAAAACTTCCTTAAATCAGTCGTTTCTGTTTCTTTTTCATTTCGTCACTAAATTTGAATAAGTTTGAAAAGTTCAATACCAAAACTCTTCCAAAACGTTTTGAATCAAATTATTATTTTTTCGTTCGTTTCCTTCGTTTGTGCGTGGATGTGCGCGTTTGAGTGTGCGTTCATATGCTCGTCCGTTCATTTAGTCACTCAGTCATTACTTCAAACATTCCTTGAGTTTTTTGTGCGTGGATGTGCGCGTTTGAGTGTGCGTTCATATGCTCGTCCGTTCATTTAGTCACTCAGTCATTACTTCACACATTCCTTGAGTTTTTTGTGCGTGGATGTGCGCGTTTGAGTGTGCGTTCATATGCTCGTCCGTTCATTTAGTCACTCAGTCATTACTTCAAACATTCCTTGAGTTTTTTGTGCGTGGATGTGCGCGTTTGAGTGTGCGTTCATATGCTCGTCCGTTCATTTAGTCACTCAGTCATTACTTCACACATTCCTTGAGTTTTTTGTGCGTGGATGTGCGCGTTTGAGTGTGCGTTCATATGCTTGTCCGTTCATTTAATCACTCAGTCATTACTTCACACATTCCTTGAGTTTTTTTGCGTGGATGTGCGCGTTTGAGTGTACGTTCATATGCTCGTCCGTTCATTTAGTGACTCAGTCATTACTTCACACATTCGTTGAATTTTTTTGTGCGTGGATGTGCGCGTTTGAGTGTGCGTCCATATGCTCGTCCGTTCGTTTAGTCACTCACTCATTACTTCACACATTCCTTGAGTTTTTCATGCATTAACATTTTTTTACGAGTAATAAGCAGATTATTACCAGTTGAGGAACTCTTTGCACAACGTCAGAAATCCTTGGGTGGTTTTGATCTGCAAATTGACTGTTCTTTATAAATCCCTTGGTGGATGACAGCGCTAGACTTTCACTGGTAGCAAATCCCCTCTCCACACCTGACATGAAGCAAGGCGAATCTTCACACACGTCCGTCGATGAAATTGAGTCTACCCAAGTTGTTAAGTCAGACGATGGAATTCTTTGATCACCTAACAAATAAAAAGATGGTTAAATTAGAGGTTCTAATGATGTTTGGTCGACCTGCTTCAAAAAAAGGAATGTTTTAAATCACTTTTTATGAGCCTTTAAAGAAGTGACTATCACCTGCGTTCACTTAGCAAAATAATGAAATATGGAAAATTTTTTGCACTGGAAAAAAACATATTACGACTGTTGCTAAGTTTCATTTCTTTTTGTCACTGATGCTCGGATGAAATCTTGTTAGGTCTACAGGCAGAGGAAAGCTTGAAGTATGGACTGAACTGTTAGTATGAAAAAAAAAATTGCGAGTTATTCCCCACAGCCTTTGCTTTCACTTTATCTTTCTGTGATTTGTTTACACGAGCTCTTGCTTGTTTTAAATAAATTCTAAACTCAGTGATAAATGGGGATGAAAATTGTACACGTCATCTCACGACTATCAAGTATTGCTAAGATTTTAACTTCCCCCACCCTTTCTCCGTTAGTGCTCGTTTTACGGGTATTCAAAGCTTCTTAAATCTACACGGAAAGAAAAGAAGTCAAACAAGGATTTGAGGATTGAACTCGGAAATTCCCACAAAGAAGGCCGCGCACTAACCGACTGGGGTAATCCAGCGCCCAAGATCAATGTCGTGGACTCAAGATGCTTCCTTTGTCCGACCTTCGTGACCTACATGTCGATTAACATCTTCTTTCTTCAAGCTCATACTACTTCACCGGACTACACTATGCAACTATTCTTACCTTGAGGACATGCAGTGGGAGTGTAGAGTTGTTGCCTTTGAACTGTTACCATGGGAACAGAATGTGAATCTCTTTTCACTGTGTCGCTAACCACAGAGCCTTTCCACGAGTGACCTTCACCTGCCTTCACCTAACACAGTCAAAAAGCACCATCTACATGACAATCACTTCAGTGCCATTCATAATTTCTTTCTCGTTTTATAACAGTGTGAACATGGGAAAATCAATTTTACCTTATTGCGGTTATCAATCAGACTCTGGTTATCAATATAAAATTAAAAAACTAACTACAGATTTGCTTTCTTTGCTGCCGTCAATCATCTCAGCGAACCTCTCAGAAAACAGACGTTTACTTCAACGAGTTGAAGAGGTCGTGTTTTCTGATTTGTGATATAACGGGGTTTTGATCCATGTTGGGTTTTGCTGTGCTTGAAGGCTCGTTGTTTGTGACCATAATTATAATTGACGGCAGCGAAAAACGCAGTTGGGAATTCAGCTTTTTAACTTCAGAGTTCGCGTGTTATTGAAAAGCGCAGTAATAAAAAAGCTGATAATTAAATTACTACTTTTGAACTACCATGTGCGACCACCCATCAAAATACCACAACTGAACACGACTTTCCCAATCAAAGTGCTCTTGTCGAAACCTGTCGTTACCGATTCCTTTCGTATATGTAAATGACCGTGAATAATTTTAAGGTGACCAGTTCCTCATTTTCCATCATTTAACTCAGCCAGTTTATTATTTTTACCAGATATGGCGAGGATACCACAACAGCGTTTGCCAATTACCGAGGTCCTGACACAGCCCCTTTCCTAAACAACCCATGAAAAGGCAGTATCACCACCGGGGTACTAAGTCCAAAGCTCACTTTAAACAGTAGGGTCACTGGGTGATACAGTCAACTCTCGCCTTGCGGACATTCCGCTATAACCGACACCCCGATAATACGGACAGCAGCTAAATCCTCTCCAAAAATATATTAGAGATGTTTGACTGAAATAAACTCCCGCTACTACGGACTCTAGCTAATGAGGACACTAACTCAAGGTCCCTACAGTGTCCGCGATAAAGGGAGTTGACTGTATTTATGAACTAGAGTTACTGTTATGAACGTTTTGGCTCTCTAGGTGGACTCTACACGGCGATCTCAAAATTAAGCAATGTTAGGATTTCATAAGTAAGTGCAATATGATATTCTAAGTGAGCGTAGTCCTGAATAGGACCGTTGTTGACAGTGACTGACGTTTCGACAACCTGTGCGGTAGTCATCTCAAGAGTCAAAAGGCTTACCAACACCAAGTTTTGTGTTAGACCCTAAGAACAGTATCCGACAGATACAAAGCAAAATAGTTCACACAGCACGTGGCTTACCGTTCGAGAGTCAGTAGGAACCACTTTAGTTGAGACAATGGGTGCAACTCTCCACTGGGTTATTTTTCCACTGTCTGGTGGGTAGAACTCTGGTGATAGCCCATTATCAGTGTCTTCCAGATCCTTTAAACCAAATGATGCATTCCAAGGCTCCAAATTCCCAAACCTTTTGTCACGCAAACTGTTATCTGATCGCTCCACACTTTCCAGTGCAGTGTACGCAAATGCTGATCCAGGGTGACTGGAAAATCCATTCATTTCGATACTAAATTTTTCAGTTCTTGATTGCGTTTGAGGTATGTTTTCATAATCTGTCAGTGAAACATCTTTTGCATTTGTTCCTGAAAAGCGTGTGCTAGCTTCCGATCTGAAAGAAAGTAGGTTTTGCTCTGTTAAAGGACTCGCGTGTATGAGATCTGCTTCACCAATTGTCTTTTCTGACGCATAAGAGCCTTGCGGATGTTTCTGAAGTAAGCACGAGTCCGTAGATGGGCGTAACACTGAAGAGGAGTGGTGTGCAGTAGGGGAACTAGAGCTCTGAATATTGAAGTGTTTCAGCAGTTGACTGTTATTACTTGACAAGTCGCAAAGCCATCCTCTTTTCACCTTACCATTGGCATTAGCTTCAGAATCAGAATTATCATGATCTTGGACTGAACTTGTCAAGTGCTTCATCAAAGGAGAGACTGATTCAGAATCATGTGACCAAACATCGTTCAATTGTGTCTCGCAATGGGACTCCCAATCTTGTGTATCGTCGTCTGGTAGTGTTGCTACAAAGGCAACATCACAAGTAGGGCTTATTTGACCAACTGCACTTGTTACCTCAGCTTTCTTCTCACTGGAACAAGCTGCAAACAAACCTGGGGATAAATTAAAGGAGTTGCAGAGATCTTCACTCGACACCAGGTCCTGTTCAGGTGAATCACTGTCTGTAGCATTCAATTGAAGTTCGCAAGCTGTCTCAGAAGATTTTTTTGTCTCCACACCTAATCTTACGGCACCCTTTGGAGATGAGCTGTTGTCCAAATTCCCCTCAAAACGCGATGGTGATTTTCCAGTTAGCTCAATGCTTGCTTGATCAGTATTCTTGCTTTCTTCATCTGTTAGCGGTTGTAGCCGAGGGGTATTCTTAAACGCTGAGAATAATGCCAGGATCTGGGTAGTATTACGTTTGCCTTCAGAGAAACTTCTGTCATTAAAGCTTCCTTTTTGCACTGGTATGGTTGACTTTGAAGGCACTGAGTTAGTCAAGGCTTTGTTCTCTTTCTGTACTCCACCTTTAGAAGGCCCAGTGACATTTAGTGGAACAACTTGGTCATGCCGTTGCGATGTAACACACAAATTCTGCAAGTTTGACCTCTGCAACACTGAACAGCCATTATAGCTGGGAATCTCCTGCTTATTTCCATGGTGACGAGAATCACCCTCCACCTCTCGATTATTGGAGTAAGTACTGTACAGGTTGAAGAAGTCATTTTTACTTGGAACTCTAGATTCTGCAGTGTTAAGGTTTGTATTTTTTGGAAGGACATTTTCTCTTCGTGGCTGAAAGGGAATTTAATGTAGGATGTTAACAAAGAAAAATGCGAAATGGTCCAAAACCAGTACGAAACAAGTTTTGGCCTAATGACTTGACAGTTTAAAAGTGACACTGACCCCTCGACTTTAGTTCATGCACCATTCGCTTTCTCTCCTCACGTTTTCTTTCGCTTTTCTTGCCTTTTTTTAAATAATTTATTTTTTTGCTGGGCATTTACCAGTCATCATTTCTATAGAGGCACTTTTGGAAAACTTTAACGATCATAGGATCAGACAGAAGGAAGTCCTTTTGGGTAGTGGAACTACATTTCGTTGGAATTTTTGGGTCAGCGTTTCATGTTGTAATACGTTTTTCTTCAGCCCGTTTCACTGAATCGTGCTCGTTCAGGTATAGTTGGAAAGATTTTTTTTCTATTACATAAGCAAGTCTAGATGTCCAGGTTGATGGGGAATATTTGCATTTGAGGATAACCCAAGTGGTACAAGGGACATGGAACTGCTAACCTGCAAGCAAGCTCTCCATTTGGGGGAGATGCGAGAAGTCACGCGAGAGCCGCATGCGAAAGGAGACGCAAGTGCAAGGGGTGCCACTCACTCCCGCGAGAATGCTCGCAGGCTATGGAACTGCTCCATGCTTATGGGCAGTTCAAGGGTGAATGGGTAAACAAACATATATATAGCCTGCAGTGCTACCTTATAACTTTCTCAGTACAGAGTACCTTTTTGTATTCAGGTCCAAGGTGCCTTGATAGTGTAGGTGTAGTTTGATTGATTTTTGGCGGTTGGAAACACTACAAAGAGTTACACAAATCAATATCATTAATGTGAGCTCAAACATATTACTATCCAGGATTTACAAAGACTTTTTGGTACAAATTAAAAAGTTATTCTAATATTAAATATATCCTAAATTTATGTTCCGACTTTAAACTACCTATGCTGTTACTTTACAAAATCCATTTTCATTTAAAAAAATTTTTTCTTACATTAATTCGCACCTATATAGACCCCTCAGAGTGTACTCTAAACTGCCACATACTTGTCTTTTCCTTTTGTTTGGTTGATAAATCCCAGGTGTGTTACTAACTTCTCTTTGTTCCACTCTCTGTGAATTGCACCCCTGGGCGTGGTCAGGAGAGGAGTCCAGCCTTTCCTCTATAGTTATCAAGTACCTATCACTTTCTAACTCCTCCCCAGCAGACACCTGTTAAAGAAATGCATACAAATAAATTTATATTGATGTCTACAGATATTTAACAAGCAACACCATTGGTGAATGCAATAATAGAAGTGGTAAGGCTAGTCATAGCAGCAGCAGCAACTGAAGTTGCAGGAGGAGCAGCCCCAGTGGCAGTAGTAGCACTAGACTAGTGGTAGTGGTAGTAGGTGGCAATAGTAGTGGCAGCGGGCGTAGAAGTGGTAGTGGTAGAGGCAGTAGTAGTGGTAGGGGCAGTGGTAATGGAAGCGACAGTGGTGATAGTAGAGACGGTGGTAGTGGTAGTGGCAGTAGTAGTGTTAATGGCAGTGGCAGCAGTAGTGACAGTGGCAGTAGGAGTGGTAGTGGTAGAGGCAGTAGCAGTGGTAGCGGCAGTGGTAATGGAAGCGACAGTGGTAATAGTAGTGACGGTGGCAGTGGTAGTGGCAGTAGTAGTGGTAATGGCAGTGGCAGCAGTAGTGACAGTGGCAGTAGTAGTGGCAGTGGCAATGACAGTGGCAGTAGTAGTGGTAGTGGCAGTGATAGTAATAGTAATAGTAATAAATTGCTTTATTTGCATGACCGCATCACTTTACAGTATTGCAAAAGCATGTATATGACAATCAAAATAAAAACAAAACAGCACTAATAACAATCTAGAAAAATTCGGTTACATTACTAACAATGAATCACGTATTTTCATGCAGGAGGAAACAAACTTCATAACTAACTTATTTACATGATGTTCCTTCGAATTCATTATCAGTTTTATGCTTTCCGGAGATGATTTCTTGTCAAAGTCAGGTATTATTCGATTGATTTGATTAATAAATGCCTGTCTCTGTACTGAGTATTTGTTACATTGAAAGAAGAAATGAATCTCATCTTCTACCTGATTTGAGTTACATAAAGGACATAATCTATTTTCTCTTGGCAAATGATCTATTTGGTATCGACCATGTTCAATCATAAGTTTGTGATTACTTATTTTAAATTTAACAAAATTCTGTCGTTCGTCATAATGTCTTAGCTGGTAGAGATAATCAGATGTAGAATATTCATCTTTAAAAGTTTTATAAAATTCTAGTTTTTTTGAATTTTCGAGGCTGTTCCGCCAAAAAGATAGATATTTCTCTCTCATTTCTGTGGTATATCGTCTAATTTTATCATTATCTAGAGATTCAGCATCTAAACTGGTTAGATTGTATTGTTCAAGCATGTTTATGAAATTGGAAAAATATCTGGAATTATTCATAGAATGTAGATTCTTTGACATAAGGAAAGACTGTTTGACTATAGAGTCATTATCTTTGTTGTTGAGGTAAACAAAATATTTCATAATTTTCTGATTTATCGGGATAAGCAGCGGCAGTCTATCAAGTTCAGCTCTGCAGGCTATGTTAGAGGCCTTATTGTTAACCTCTAAGTAACGTTTACAGAATTTGAGGTGGATTTTTTCTATTGGGGAGCTATCCCATTTTTTAAAATCTTGCTTGGTGTACATTCCCCGTACCTCGCTGTTGTAACTCAAGATTGGGAATACCATGGTGTCAAAAATTTGGGATGCAGTATTAGGATTAAGTTTGTTAAGAATTGTCCGCTTCCGAATACTAGAAAACGCGTGAAGGGCCTTTTCTTTTAAGTGTTCGAGTGCAAGTGTAAAGTTTCCCGTTGGAGTTAAACGTGTACCTAAATAAGTGTATTCTTGGACAATTTCAATTGATAGTAGCAGTTGTAGTGGTAGTGGCAGTGGCAGTAGTAGTGGCAGTGTTAGTAGTAGTGGCAGTGATAGTGGTAATGGCAGTGGCAGTAGTAGTGACAGTGGTAGTGACAGTTTCAGTGGTAGTGGCAGTGGCAATACAATGGCAGAGGCAGCCATAGTGTTACTGGTATTTGCAGTGGCATTGGTAGTGGTAGTAGTAGTGGTAGTGGTAGTGGTAGTACGAATGTCAATGTTTAAAACTTAATGCTTGGTTTTAAGGGAAACTCTTAATTTGGTTCACGAGAATCTCTATGTTTCCCAAGGAAGAAAAGAGGGGAACAAAATTAACTAGTTTCCCGAAGGACAACTCATGAAGTGATTTTTTATATACCCTGGAAAGAAAAACTTCTGTGCGTAAAAATCTATGAAAGTAAATCCCAGCAAGTGATCGACAATTGGAGTTAACAGTGCACTGTTGCCCTCTGATACCATAAATTTTCGCAATCTCAGAGAATTTGGGCAAAAAGCAGTTTTATTTTTAGATGTCATGTGACCTCAAAGTAGACCATGAGAGTGCGTGCTATTTAATGTTATGTCAAAAGACATGTTGCTTAGTTACTTCTTAGTTGTCATGTTGCTTAGTTACTCCAACAAAAATAAAATTATAATTTATCTCATAATCTCGGCAGAGTCCTGGAACTACATGTAGCTTGTTATAAGGGACATGTCTGGGAAATTACATAATTAGCAATAATTAAATTGCATGTGAAAAGATGCAACATATGCAATAACGAAATCATGATTTACATGGTTATAATAATAATAGTTCCACAACCCTCTCAGTGGCAGATTTTAAGGAGGGGTTCAGACCCACTCCTTTGTGTAGAATAAGACAGTAGATCAAGCTGAGGCCCACTGGACCGAGTAAAATTTTTTCCAGAGCCGCCCCAAACCTATCCTCCCACCCCCCTGCTATTTCTGGGTATGGATACACCACATCTAAAGATAACATTTTAACAAATGTTACCCATTAAAAAAAAAATGCACTTTATTTGAGTGTCAATGTATTTAGCACGAAAGTGCTAATTAGGACACTATATTTTACATCTCCTAATGGAGACAGGACCACCATTTTACGTGGTCATCCGAGCCACACGAAGGTCCAGCCGCCTGCAGGGCAAAGGAAGTACCTTCATTTCTCAGTTATTTTTAAGACCCTGAGTATTGGTCCGGCCCCGGGAATCGAACCCGTGACCTCCCGCTCTGCAGTCAAGTGCTCTACCAACTGAGCTAATCCTGCCGCGGTAAAAAAAGGCAACGTTTAAGTCAATTATTGCAAATTTTCCGGTACAATTTATACAGATCATCTAAATTACTTTGTAAGTGCAGGACTGACCTGGTCATTGTGAATAAAAAATGAATCCAGCAGCTTTGACTCCTCATCACAGAGCTTTGCCTGAAAAGGAAATTTGTGAGTGAAAAGTTTATATCCAATAGGGATAATACTGTGAAAGTTTGAACCCTGGAGTCATTTTAAAAGTAAGTGGAGCATTATCGTCCTATTCAGGACTACGCACGCTCACCCGGATGATTATGCTCCACCTACTTGGGGATAATATTGGGGCCATTTATACAAGGAAAAATGAGACGCGTCTTTCATAAGATGCATCTTAACTAAGACGCGACCTTTCCGTATAAACAGCACATTTCGCCTAAAATAAGATGCGTCTTATTTTAGAACAGCCTTAACACCTGTTCATAGATAGCACGTGTCTTAGCTAAGACGAGAAAAACTTCGTATAAATGACCTTCGCATCTTACATAAGATATGAACGCATAGTACGCATGCATTAATTTTTGGCACGCCATGTTGCATTGCCATTGCTACAGGCAATATTCACATAAAAACGAGTCAAGAACAGAACTAAGACGCGAACCATTTATATACGAGTTGCTTTCATCTTACATAATACATGCTCATATAAATGGCACAGTTCACGTCTTATTTAAGAGGCATCTTATGTAAGACACTTCTTATTTTTCCTCGTATAAATGGCCCTAATGTTACGTCACGTTATGTTAAACACCTTTTATTCAGTGGTTGGCATATTTGAATAAGAAACAAACACAATGTTTACAAACATGACCCATCGCTATTGTTATTATCATACCCAGTTTAATCTTGACAACAGGAAAATAGACCTCAAACAAATATGTCAAGTATGTATCTGAGCTGTTTTGTCTTTTTAAGCAACAGAACGATTCGTACAGCTTCAATTTTTTTATCCCTTTTACAGAAACGCAGAGAGTTTTTACCTTGTTTCCGTTAACGTTCAGAATGCCATCCTGCAAAATGGGGTAAAAATAGTAAATGAGATAAATAATAGTGCATAATTCTGAAGCCTACGGGAAGCTTTTGCTTTAACAGTTAAAACAACGTGGAAAAAATTAAAGCAAGGATAATGACATGTTAATTCGAGCTCAACAAATGAATGTTTGCATAATAAACAGGGTAACAAAAGATTATTTCTACCTGCCATGTCTTGGCTTTCTTAGCCTTCTGGTGTGTGTAAAGTACCTGCAGTCAGTAAAAGAGTATTTGAAAACAGTCTTCAAGGAGATTTGATTAAGAAATAAGAAAGATCACGTTAACTTACCGAAAACATCGATCACAAGGCGATATGACGACTTTTCATGTTTGCAGTTTTGTTTTTTCTTTTGCTTTTTATTTTTTGCGACAAATTTGCAGTGCCGTTAGTTGCCTTTTTCCTCAAAGACTAATATTACATCGGCTTGTTTATGTAGCAAATTAAACGACTTCTTTGCTTTTGAACGGCTTTCTTTTCCTCTTCGCGGCTGGCGCCATATTTGTATTTTGCGCGGGTACTGGAGTTGACCCAGTCATTCCCGGCCCTTCTGAAACTTGGAAACGAGGTTGTTTATTTTTGTCGAGATTGCTACTTCTCGAAGATGGCTTTTCTAGAGTACATCACGCTTGGGAATATCTTTCTTTTTGTCGTTTTTTTGCTGATCCTCAATCAGTTGATTGAACTGTATCAGTTTAGAAATATGCCACCTGGGCCTCGTTTCACAAGCTTACCTTTCATCGGAAATATACTGAGCTTTGATCGGGGAGCCGCGGGGCAGAGCTTTATCGCTTCTACCGCAAGGTTTGTTGACTTGTAACTAGAGCATAGCTTTATTTTGCACATTTTTATATTGGTTAGAGTAAGGGTTGAAACATCAGAGGTAAGGATCTCAGATACATAACAACTAAATCGGTTTAGATCCTATTTATTTATTTATTTATTTTTCCTGGGAACATGCAACATCACTACAATTATTAAATTATTTAATTAATTTTTTTTTGCCGGGGTAATCAACATTTATTATATTTATGGCTGTTGTAGAACATATTTTTTACTTAAATTCCTGGAAAAAATTTCTTTTAGCTTAGCACGTTTTCCATGAAAACATTTCTTTCGTAAGGTAAATGGTATCAAGCGTTTTTCTTCTGATAGAAAAACGTCTGACGAAATATTTTAAAAATAGGGATTGCAACAATATAAACAACAAAGTAAGCGATTATGCGTGTACTCACATGACAAAATCACGCGATCCATTGACAATGGATCCCTTAGTTTGCAAAAACATAGTGCAGCTGAAATTTTGCTGTCGTACCCTAGACACCCAAAATCTCTCTCACATCTCGGACTATGACAATAAACCAAAAACTCTAATTCTGTATTTTGTTTCCAAAAGAATTCCCATTACTGATACACTATTCCAGACCCCTCTGGTTTCTATGATGCTGCTTGAAAATCCCACCCTCCCTGTGCAGCAGCACATTTCTATAAAGGCCATAATATATGGGGTGACTGTGCCATTACCCTTTGCCCAATGCCCCCACCCACCCTCCCCAGTTGTTTATTGTCCAGGTGTTGCATTTTGTCATCAAACTCAATGGTCATTTTGATGTAGTGGGTAAAGTTTTGCTGTAATGGCCGCATGGCCAAACAAATTATATTCCAATAATCAAAGTGCACCTGGATTATGTATGTGCATTGTACATGTACCATTTTTGGTTTCTACTTGGTTGCAGCTTAGGATTGACTGATGTTGCATGTAGGCTACAGTAAACTTTGTAAAGCCATCGGTTAAAAAGTAATATTTGTCACTCCCTTCTTGTTTAAAAGCTTGAGGAAAAAGTATGGAACTCTTTATTCTTTGAAACTTGGTGCCTACAAATTTGTCGTGGCTGAAGATGCTGACTCGGTGAAGGAGGTTCTGGTAAAGAAATCTGCAGATTATGCAGGAAGACCTCCATTTTATAGCTTTGTGTCTACTACACTTGGTATGTATATTAATCTGTCAATCTTCATTTTACACCCCAACACAGACACCTGGCTGAGTCAAATATAAATCACATCAGTGCTCATGGGCGGTTTTTGGGGTTGGCCTAGGGGACCATGGCCACCCCTTTTTCTGTGAAATTTTGTATTGTTATTTAATAATAAAAAATGAAATTAACAAGTATCATGTTTTGCAATTACGTGTACATACGTAACCTGTTTGATGAAAAGGAAATAGGAACTGTGGGTTTTAGGAAGTTTCGATCTGATCCTGATATCTCTGAAGCGTTTCTGGTGACTTGTTAAGTCTTGCTATTGTGTGCTTTCTCTTCTTCCCTTTACAGTCGTGACAGGGTTTAGAGTTTTTTCGCACAGGGTAATCAAGTCTCGGCAAGTCTTAAAAAAGTCATAAAACTCCTTAAAAATTACTGAGTTTGTTAGCCTGCAGAAAAGGTGCTTTTTTATTCACGTTTTTCAGGCAAAGTAACATGAAGCAAGCACAAAGCGGGCGTGGAGCGCGAGATGCACGAATTTTTCTGTGCCTACCTGCATCGCGCACGTCTCGCGCTCCTCGCTCGCCTAAAAAATGCGAAAAAATAACGCCCGTATTTCAGGCTATTATTTCACCCTGACTATCAAACTCAACCTAGTTTTAGTTTGTTTATGTTATTAATTCTGGTTATGGTGTCTTTTGTAGGCAGTGCAGTTGTATTCTGACTTTTTTTTGACTGATTGATATATTCTTCTTCCTAATGTAAGGTGGGAAAGACATTGCATTGGGGAATTTTGGTCCTGCATGGAGATTCCATCGCAAACTGTTCATGACTGCTGTGCGACAATATCTATCCAACCAGGAACTAGTGGAGGAAAGGATCTCTGAACAAGCCTCAAACCTGCTGGAGTATTTTGAAGAACACAAAGGAAAAGATTTTGATCCTGCAGAGATTCTCATGAAAAGTGTTGCAAATGTTATCTGTCGCATCTCATTTGGAGAGCACTTTGATTCATCCAGTCCAGATTTTGACGAGCTCTTGCGCTTGAACAATGAGACCTTCACAGACACTAAGATAAGTGAAGATGCCTTCATCTTAGATCTTTTTCCATTGGCGAAGTACTTTCCTTTTGAAAGTTACCAAAAGGAAATTAAAATGGCTGACCGAATGTTTGAAATCATTGGCAAGCAGCTGAAGTTACAACGTGAGCGGTTTGATTCCTCAACAGAGGTCAAGAGCCTTACAGAAAGTCTTATGAAAGAGAGAATCACTGCAGAAGGTGAAGTTGGATCCGAAGATAAAGTGAGTATTCTATCAGATGATTACATTGTCAACACATTAGAAGACATGTTCAGTGCTGGGTACGAAACCACAAGTACCACACTACGTTGGGCCATTGCATTCCTGATACACAATCCTGAGTTTCAGACCGAGATACAGGGTAAGTTGGATGAAGTAGTTGGCAGGGATCGAATGCCTACATTGGATGATCGCCCAAAGCTTCCACTTATCCAAGCCACGATCATGGAAACACTGCGCCTTGGAAACGTTGCCGAGACAGCTATTCCTCATTATACTCTGAAGGACACCACACTTGGTGACTATCGAGTTCCAAAGGACACAGTGGTGATGGTTAATCTGCGATACGTTCATCTTGATCCAAAATGTTGGGAAAATCCCAACTCTTTCAATCCTCATCGTCACATTGATGCCGATGGGCAGCTCATTACTAACTCTGGCAACTTCCTGCCTTTCTCCGCTGGACGTAGGGTTTGTGCTGGCGAGGCACTGGCCAAGGTACGAAAGTTTATTTTTTGCTCGGGAATGCATAGAATTCACAAGTACGTCTTTGCTTAGGCTCTCAGCTAAGCTGTAAAAGCAGTTACCACACCCTTTTCTTTTAGTTCCCACACCCTTTCTTTCAGCCCCGTACCTAGGCCAATTCGTGCTATCATGGTTACTAGAGGAAGCTTGGAACCGAGCGCGAATTTGCTTGACAGGTGACGTCAAATCCGAAATCGCCGAGGACGATTGGGATTGAGGCTGCCTTTCTTTACTTTATTCATTCTATTCCACTTGAAAGAAAAACAAGAGTTAGAATAAGCCTGGAAAATCTCCATCCTTTCCAGACACTTACCATATAAATCAGAATCTCACGGCAAAATCTGGTTTTGGTGATATGCCAAACAGCCCTGATCTTATTGTGATACTGTTTTCTAGGTGGAGCTGTTTCTGTTTTTGTCCTGGATGCTGCATAAGTTCACATTTTTGCCGTCAGAGAAAGGAAGTCCTCCTGATCTTGAAGGAGTTTCTGGTTTTGCTCGATACCCAGCTCTTTACAAGATGCGAGTTGTAAAACGCGATTAGATACTTGTAAAAAGTTGCATAATAGAACTTAGCTTCATTAATCATTGATTGACAGTAGAAGTAGAAAAATTGACCTAGATTGTCAGGTGAACTGAGGACCTCGTCCACCTCTTCGTTTTTGTTTTAAAATCAAGAATTTTTCCTCCGTTTTCAAGGAAATCCGCGTCCGCACGTTTCGTTTTTGAATCGCTTTTGTCCGTCAACACGAAAACTCAATAGTAACTGAAAACGGGACCATCTTTGATGGGAGCATGCGCATTTACTGGTATCTGAACCTAATCTGTCTTATCTCGTGCACGGCATAGACTGGATCCAACAAAGTGACGTAATCGTCTTCAACACCTCAGTTTTCATCCATCCGCACGAATACAGCACAACGGCGTTTTCAAAAATCTCCGCTCCGGAGAGCGTTTTTTGAGAAGATGCTTTTTCAGTGACTGTTTCCATCGGTTAATAAAACTCTCCGTTTTCAAATAGAAAAGGATACGTGTGGACGAGGTTTAAGTATTTCACAAAAAAAATATATACAAACTCTCTCTAAAACGGATACCTTTGTGGCCACCAGCACAAAGTGTCCATCTAAGAGTAATGTCCGCCTCAATATAGAGAATCAAATAAAAGGAGTTGCAAAAGGAACCAACTCTAGGTGTCCGTGTTATAGAGGTGTCCGTTAAGAGAGAGTCGTCTGTATATCTTATTATGTGAGTATTAATCACGCTTAAGGTTCTACATGTATATCTACATGAAGGTTAAGTCAGCTGAATTAACTAACATTAACACTTACTTCTTATCTAGGGCAAAATGTTAGCTTAGGGGAGGGGTAGGAGGGCAGTTTCCCAGAAACCCTAATTGATCCGAATTCGCAATAGCGTAAGTGCAGTCAAAGCGCCATGGGCGACCACTACTTGTAGGCGACCACTTCCTAGCTATGCATTAAAGCCATCATCTATCCGAAAAGGTAAAATCATTTTCTCGTTGAAAGAACTATACTACACAGCCAAGCCTCTCGTAAGCCACCACTTCGGGAAGTTTTTGGGCTGATTTAGCAACAGGACTGGAACGTCAGTTGACGACGGGAAAGCGCGGGGAAAGGACTAAACACGACTTCCGGTGCCCAATTTGCCGCTCTGCCATTGGTCAAGCCAGTTGTTTGATCTGCGCGCGCAAGCGCGCGCCGTTGTCAACTAACGTTCCCATTCTGTTGCTAAATGAGCCTATTAAAAGCGCGAGATATATTACACATTTGTACCGCTTGTTTCGTCTCATCATCGAACGAGGTATGTTACACATTCATTCCCATTGTTTTGTCTCAAGATGGTTTAAAGAACGAGATATATTAACACACACTATTTATTAAACAAAAATTAATTTGTTTGTCTGTGCACTTCACCTGATAAAATTCGGGCGACATGACTGCGTATTTCGGGCGACTTGACCGGTTACCTGAAAATCTTCTAAGCTTTCTCAAAACGGCCGGCTCGCACTCACAGGTAATAAACTATCAACCCCTAAATTAACAGTGTCTATTTGTCTAAGAATATCAGGGTTGTCACTAAGGGCCGGGGGCCGGGGATTTCCCCCGGCTACTCAGAGCATGGCCCCCGGCTACTTTCGTCATTAAATTAAACCAAAAGAGCACACCTTTGAAACACACAAAGACTATCCATCAAACTAAATGAAAGTTTCATCTGCAGCAGGTTTAAGTAATTTTGAAATACTCGCGTGCAAAAACTAAGAAATGTCGGGAAAAGACATCTGCCTTAGATTTGGTACTAGTACACACGCGCGAAAACTCTCCGTTCGCGAAATGTCAGTAGGAAGTTTTAGCAACGACGACGGCGACGGCAACGAGAACGTCAAAAAAGCAATAGGATTATTGAGCAAAACAACTAGTTTGCACGTGCATCACGCTTTTTTGTACATTTCTTTGCCGTTACTGCACGACTACGACGTGAAAATGCCTAGTTTCACGTTTTATGGAGGACGTAAACAATCGAAGACAAACTTTTCTTTCTCTTTCTAAACTTGAGTGCGGTCCCAAAGAAATCAACTCCAGGGAAATTGGCCTACATTAGCTATTTTCAGCGAACTGAAATAAACGAGACAAAGTTGGAAAAAACGCCAATTCATTTTAAAAGCGACGTTTTCGCTGCCGTCACCTTTGTCGATGCTAAAAGTCCCTAGTTTCAACCGTTGTGTCGGCTTTGTGTTGAATATGTCGAAGAAGTGGCAAAGGAATCTGCACTCTTTGTTCACGATGAAAGACCTGAGCAGATCTCTGTTGACATCACAGAAGAAGTTGAGGCTTCATCCGAGCGTTAAATCTCCCTGATGCTGATGTTGATGATAATGAGGATTATGATGAAGGCTTTGAAGATGAACACTATGACTGATTGCTATGTTTAATAAATTGACGTTTAAGTGACCAGGTCTACATTTAGCTTTAGGTATCGAGTATATAAAATAACGCACGGTCAACGGGAAATGTTCGATCATTGTCCGCACGTCATGATCACATCCTCTCAGTTCTACTTCCAAGAAGTTATATTTAAAAGGGAAGTTAAGCATTAGCATTACTTTTGCATTCTTCTCCTTGAGTCTCGTTTTGACTCTCAGCGTCGTTTATAAAGTATTAGCCCTGTCTTTTAAACGCTTTTCCGTATGTCAGTTTCTTCGAATGTTAAGTGATGTTTCGTTCCTAAATTCGAGACCACTAATGTTACCAGTTGTGCAGTTTAGTTTTGCCATATTTTATCCCGCAATTTTTCGTACGTTACGCTTGTTTTAGCCTTATCATACGTCTATTTTTTAACAAACCATAGTAACCTTGTGTTTATGATGCTTTTTCGTACATTCATCGTCCGCTTGTCGTCTTTCCGCTTCTCCGTGGGTTAATTCATTTGTAATATTAGTTTTACTTTTGTTTTCTGTAACTTGCTTCGTTCTTTCGTATAACTAAATGAGGATTTACAATTGATTTTAAAACGCATGTTAATTCATTTGCACCATATAAGAATCGATTGTCCTTTCCACATTTTTAACATTTGTAAAGTATCGTTGTGATTTAAAACTTCACTGGCCAGCATGCGCTTTGTCTGCGTGAAGATAAGACTGCGCGGATAACGTGACCGGTGCCTACCTGTCATCCATTTCAGACCCGGTGCTTACATGTATACTCCCATTTGGCGGCCACTAAAAAATCTCTCCAACGAGCCTTTACGTAAAGTAAAAACTTATTAGTTTAGGGTCTCAGAATGATGTTGTTTTCTTTAATAAAGACGTGATCATCATAAAACCGCTAATGATAGCTGTACTCTTGATGAAGATTGCCTTTTTGGGGCGGTAATGCGTTTTAGAAAACGGTAGAAGTTGCGCTGCAAAAACTTCTTGTAGGGGCGGGGGGGGTCTCAGGACTGCTTGCGACTTCCCCGGCTACTAACAACAAATACCCAGCAACTTGAAATCTTAGTGACAACCCTGTAAGATACTATTTTTATTGTAACAATCAGGAGAAATTTATCACGATAAATTGACACAAAGTTTTATTTTAAATGTCTGTGAGCTACACGCAGGCCTAAGCTACACGATTATGATTATATTATTTTTTATTTTAACGTAAGAAAGTTAGATACGTAACCAAACCAACGGTCTGTGATACAGCAAAACATCTGTAAAAATAGCTTCAAGAAAAATACAGATTCCCACAAAGTAAAGAAACCACAGTTTTTCCGTAGGTAGTTTCCCTGCATGTTTTGGACCAGTACACCTGTGACAAACACACAGAACAATTGTTGATTAGGCAAGTTAATGAAAAGATGATGACCGTGTTTTTCAAGTTAGGCTAATGTTCAGTATTTTCTAAATAACTGAATACAACATCTGCATGTATCAAAAACCAAAACACCAATAGGTGTACATTTCAACGTTATTTACTTTCTCTTACAGCAATTTAACCCATTCGCTCCTGGGGATACTTTTTTAAGGCTAATCGAGCTGTGTTCTTGTCACTATCTGATTATTAAGAACAAAACTGCCCCAAACACGGTTTTCTGTTCCAGATGCAAAATGTCAGCTCCCAAAGCTCGGGCGTGCATAAAAAGAAAAAATTCGAGATTGGGTTTAAAAGTGGCAGAGCAGTCTCGACTATTATCTTTTATCTTCTTGTCCTTTTTTTTTTTTCTGGGCATTTATTATGTTCCGGGATGTTCTGGAATGTTCCGTGTTCCGGGTTTTATTGACGCCCAAAAACTTTGTATAAAGGACCTTCGCGTCTTACATATTAAAGATATGAACGCATAGTACGCATGCACTAATTTTTGGAGGCCATGTTGGATTGCCATTGCTACGGGCAATATTCACATGAAAATGAGTCACGAACAGAAATAAGACGCGAACCATTTATATACGAGTTGCTTTTGTCTTAGATAAGACATAATCGTATAAATGGCACAGTTCACATCTTATTTAAGAGGCGTCTTATGTAAGACGCTTCTTATTTTTCCTCGTATAAATGTCCCTAATGTTACGTCACGTTCTGTTAAACACTTTTTGTTTCAGCAGTTGGCATATTTGAATAAGAAACAAACACAATGTTTACAAACATGACCCATTGCTATTGTTATTATCATACCCAGTTTAATCTTGACAACAGGAAAATAGACCTCAAACAAATATGTCAAGTATGTATCTGAGCTGCTTTATGTTTTTAAGCCACAGAACGATTGGTACAGCTTTCCTTTGCATGATTCCTTTTACAGAAGCGCAGGGAGTTTTTACCTTGTTTCCGTTAACCTTCAGAATGCCATCCTGTAAAATGGGGTAATAATAGTAAATGAGATTAATAATAGTTCATAATTCTGAAGCCTGCGGGAAGCTTTTGGCTTAACAGTTAAAACAACGTGGACCAAATTAAAGCAATGAATGTTTGCATAATAAACAAGGTAACAAAAGATTATTTCTGCCTGCCATGTCTTGGCTTTCTTAGCCTTCTGGTGTGTGTAAAGTACTTGCAGTAAAAAAAGAGTATTTGAAAACAGTCTTCAAGGAGATTTGAATAAGAAATAAGAAAGATCACATTAACTTACCGAAAACATCGATCACAAGGCGATATGACGACTTTTCATGTTTGCAGTTTTGTTTTGTCCTTTGCTTTTTATTTTTTGCGACAAATTTGCAGTGCCGTTAGTTGCCTTTTTCTTCAAAGACTAATATTACATCGGCTTGTTTATGTAGCAAATTAAACGACTTCTTTCTTTTGAACGGCTTTCTTTTCCTCTTCGCGGCTGACGCCATATTTGTATTTTGCGCGGGTACTGGTGTCGGCCCAGTCCTTCCCGGCCTTTAGGAAACTTGGAAACGAGGTTGTTTATTTTTGTCGAGATTGCTACTTCTCCAAGATGGCTTTTCTGGAGTACATCACGCTTGGGAATATCTTTCTTTTTGTCGTTTTTTTGCTGATCCTCAATCAGTTGATTGAACTGTATCAGTTTAGAAATATGCCACCTGGGCCTCGTTTCACAAGCTTACCTTTCATCGGAAATATACTGAGCTTTGATCGGGGAGCCGCGGGGCAGAGCTTTATCGCTTCCACCGCAAGGTTTGTTGACTTGTAACTAGAGCATAGCTTTATTTTGCCCATTTTTATATGGGTTAGAGTAAGGGTTGAAACATCAGAGGTAAGGATCTCAGATACATAACAACTAAATCGGTTTAGATCCTATATTTTTTTTTCCTGAGAACATGCAACATCACTACAATTATTTAATTAATTTTGTTTGCCCTCGGTATAGCGGTAATCAACATTTATTATATTTCTGGCTGTTGTAGAACATATTTTTTACTTTTTTGGTGGAAGAAATTTCTTTTAGCTTAGCAAGTTTTCCATGAAAACATTTCTATCGTAAGGCAAATGGAATCCTTCGTTTTTCTTCTGATAAGAAAAACGTCTGACGAAATATTTTAAAAATAGGGATTGCAACAATGATAAACAACAAAGTAAGCGATTATGCGTGTACTCACATGACAAAATCACGCGCTCCATTGACAATGGAGCCCTGAGTTTGCAAAAACATAGTGCAGCTGAAATTTTGCTATCATACCCTAGACACCCAAAATCTCTCCCATATCTCAGACTATGACAATAAACCAAAAACTCTAATTCTGTATTTTGTTTCCAAAAGGATTACCATTACTGATATACTATTCCAGACCCCTCTGGTTTCTGTGACGCTGCTTGAAAATCCTACCCTCCCTGTGCAGCAGCACATTTCTATAAAGGCCATACTATATAGGGTCCCTGTGCCATTACCCTTTGCCCAATGCCCCCCACCCACCCTCCCCAGTTGTTTATTGTCCAGGCCCCAGTTGTTCAAAAGCTGGATAGCGCTATCCACTGCATAAATCACTATCCAGTGGATAACTATTAGAGGACCCAATTACGCTATCCAGTGGATAGAGATTTATCCGTTGGATAGCGTTATCCACCTTTTGAACAACTGGTGCCAGGTGTTGCAGTTTGTCCTCAAATTCCATGGTCATTTTGATGTAGTGGGTAAAGTTTTGCTGTAATGGCCGCATGGCCAAACAAATTATATTGCAATAATCAAAGTGCACCTGGATTATGTATGTGCACTGTACATGTACCATTTTTGGTTTCTACTTGGTTGCAGCTTAGAGTGACTGATGTTGCATGTAGGCTACAGTAAACTTTGTAAAGCCATCGGTTAAAAAATAACATTTTTCACTCCTTTCTTGTTTAAAAGCTTGAGGAAAAAGTATGGAACTCTTTATTCTTTGAAACTTGGTGCCTACAAATTTGTCGTGGCTGAAGATGCTGACTCGGTGAAGGAGGTTCTGGTAAAGAAATCTGCAGATTATGCAGGAAGACCTCCATTTTATAGCTTTGTGTCTACTACACTTGGTATGTATATTGATCTGTCAATCTTCATTTTACAGCCCAACACAGACACCTGGCTGAGTCAAATATAAATCACATCAGTGCTCATGGGCAGTTTTGGGGGTTGGCCTAGGGGACCATGGCCACCCCTTTTTCTGTGAAATTTTGTATTGTTATTTAAAGAATTCTCGGTCAAAATTAAAAGTATGTATAAAAATGCCACGTGTCCAGGCCACCCCTGTCTGAATTTTGTGAATCAGCCCCTGCACACAAGTGCCTCCTATCACAACATTTATCTGATAATAAAAAATGAAATTAACAAGTATCATGTTTTGCAGTTACGTGTACATACATAACCTTTTTGATGAAAAGGAAATAGGAACTGTGGGTTTTAGGAAGTTTCGATCTAATCCTGATATCTCTGAAGTGTTTCTGGTGACTTGTTAAGTCTTGCTCTTGTGTGCTTTCTCTTTTTCCCATTACAGTCCTGACAGGGTTTTGAGTTTTTTCGCACAGGGTAATCAAGTCTCGGCAAGTCTTGATTTTTACCATTAAATTGCCAACCCTACTCTACAACATAAAACTCCCTAAAAATTACTGAGTTTGTTAGCCTGCAGAAAAGGTTCTTTTTTATTCACGTTTTTCAGGCAAAGTAACATGAAGTAAGCACAAAGCGGGCGTGGAGCGCGAGACGCGCAAATTTTTCTGTGCCTACATCCGTCGCGCATGTCTCGCGCTCCTCGCTCGCCTAAAAAACGCGAAAAAATAACGCCCTTATTGCAGGCTATTATTTCACCCGGACGATCAAACTCAACCTAGTTTTAGTTTGTTTATGTTATTAATTCTGGTTATGGTGTCTTTTGTAGGCAGTGCAGTTGTATTCTGGCTTTTTTTTTGACTCATTGATATATTCTTCTTCCTAATGTAAGGTGGGAAAGACATTGCATTTGGGAATTTTGGTCCTGCATGGAGATTCCATCGCAAACTGTTCATGACTGCTGTGCGACAATATCTATCCAACCAGGAACTCGTGGAGGAAAGGATCTCTGAACAAGCCTCAAACCTGCTGGAGTATTTTGAAGAACAAAAAGGAAAAGATTTTGATCCTGCAGAGATTCTCATGAAAAGTGTTGCAAATGTTATCTGTCGCATCTCATTTGGAGAGCACTTTGATTCATCCAGTCCAGATTTTGAGGAGCTCTTGCGCTTGAACAATGAGGCCTTCACAGACACTAAGATGAGTGAAGATGCCTTCATCTTAGATCTTTTTCCATTGGCGAAGTACTTTCCTTTTGAAAGTTACCAAAAGGAAATTAAAATGGTTGACCGAATGTATGAAATCATTGGCAAGCAGCTGAAGTTACAACGTGAGCGGTTTGATTCCTCAGCAGAGGTCAAGAGCCTCACAGAAAGTCTTATAAAAGAGAGAATCACCGCAGAAGGTGAAGTTGGATCCGAAGATAAAGTGAGTATTCTATCAGATGACTACATTGTCAATACATTAGAAGACATGTTCAGTGCTGGGTACGAAACCACAAGTACCACACTACGTTGGGCCATTGCATTCCTGATACACAATCCTGAGTTTCAGACCGAGATACAGGATAAGTTGGATGAAGTAGTTGGCAGGGATCGAATGCCTACATTGGATGATCGCCCAAAGCTTCCACTTATCCAAGCGACGATCATGGAAACACTGCGCCTTGGAAACGTTGCCGAGACAGCTATTCCTCATTATACTCTGAAGGACACCACACTTGGTGACTATCGAGTTCCAAAGGACACAGTTGTGATGGTTAATCTGCAATATGTTCATCTTGATCCAAAATGTTGGGAAAATCCCAACTCTTTCAATCCTCATCGTCACATTGATGCCGATGGGCAGCTCATTACTAACTCTGGCAACTTCCTACCTTTCTCCGCTGGACGTAGGGTTTGTGCTGGCGAGGCACTGGCAAAGGTAAGAAAATTTATTTTATTTGCTCAGGGATGTATAGAATTTACAAAGTACGTCTTTGCTTAGGCTCTCACCTAAGCTGTAAAAGCTGTTACCACACCCTCTTCTTTTAGTTCCCACACCCTTCTTTCAGTCTCGTATCCAGGCCAGTTCGCGTTATCCAGGTTACCAGAGGAAGTTTGGAACCGAGCGCGAATTTCCTAACATGCTTGACAGGTGAAGTCACATCCGAAATCGTTGAGGACGACAGGGATTGAGGCTTCCTTTTTTTTTTGGCTTTATTCATTCTATTCCAGTTGAAAGAAAAAAAAAGAGTTAGAGTAAGTCTTGAAAATCTCCATCCTTTACAGACACTTACCATATAAATCAGAATCTCACAGAAAAATCTGGTTTTGGTGATATGCTAAACAGCCCTGATCTTATGTTGATACTGTTTTCTAGGTGGAGCTGTTTCTGTTTTTGTCCTGGATGCTGCATAAGTTCACATTTTTGCCGTCAGAGGAAGGAAGTCCTCCTGATCTTGAAGGAGTTTCTGGTTTTACTCGATTCCCAGCTCCATACAAGATGCGAGTTCTAAAACGCTATTAGATACTTGTAAAAAGTTGCATAATAGAACTTAGCTTCATTAATTTGATTGAGAGTAGAAGTAGACAAATTTGAACGAGATAATGAACTAAGGGCCTCGTCCACATGTCTTCGTTTTTGTTTTAAAATGAAGAATTTTTCCTCCTTTTTCTAAGAAATCCGCGTCCACACGTTTCGTTTTTGAATCGTTTTTGTCCGTGAATAGTGACTGAAAACGGGACCATCTTTGATTGGAGCATGCGCATGTACTGGTATCTGAGCCTAATCTGTCTTATCTCATGCACAGGATAGACTGAATTCAACAAGGTGACGTAATCGTCTTCAAAACCTCAGTTTTCATCCATCCGCACGAGTACAGCACAACGGCGTTTTCAAAAATCTCCGCTCCGGAGAGCGTTTTTTGAGAAGATGCGTTTTCGGTGACGGTTTCCACCGGTTAATAGTGTGGACGACAACCCAAACCGGCGGGAAAAAACTCTCCGTTTTCGAATAAAAATTGATATTGATATGTGTGGAGGAGGCCTAAGTATTTAACACAAAAAATATATACAAACTCTCTCTAAAACGGATACCTTTGTGGCCACCGGCACAAAGTGTCCATCTAAGAGTAATGTCCGTCTCAATATATAGAATCAAATAAAAGGTGTTGAAAAAGGAACCAACTCTAAGTGTCTGTTTACCGAGGTGTCCTTCATAGTATAGATAATCAAATAAAGGAAGTAAAAAAAGGAACCAACTCTAGGTGTCCATTTTACTGAGGTGTCCGTAAAAGAGAGAGTCAACTGTATATTTTATTAAGTATATATTAATCCCGCTTAAGGTTCTACATGTATATCTACATGAAGGTTAAGTCAGCTGAATTAACTAACATTAACACTTACTTCTTATCTAGGGCAAAATGTTAGCTTAGGGGAGGGGTAGGAGGGCAGTTTCCCAGAAACCCTAATTGATCCGAATTCGCAATAGCGTAAGTGCAGTCAAAGCGCCATGGGCGACCACTACTTGTAGGCGACCACTTCCTAGCTATGCATTAAAGCCATCATCTATCCGAAATGGTAAAATCTTCCCATTGAATGAACTGTACATGCAGCCAGGCCTCTCGTAAGCGACCACTTCGGGAAGTCATTAAAAGCGGTCGCATCTGTAGCTATGGCCTGAGAAAACAGACGACATTTCACGACGTCACCACTGGTTTCCACGCGAAATGACGCCTGAGAAACGAGTGCAGAAATTCCATACTGATGACGCGTCACTACCCAGATCTGGGTAGTGCTTCTCATTGGTCGTGCCGCGTGGGAAATTTGCTTCAACCAATCAGAAGCACTACCCAGATCTGGGTAATTCACTTTTTAAGTGACGTCTTCGTAGCCGTCGCCGAATCATACACGACTGGGGACAACTCAGTTTTTCAGCTAGAAGAAAGGGTAGTTACTGTCTTTTTAAGAAATATATACAGGCTTTTTGCGCAAATATAACAAAAAATCTTGAGAAAGTTTCCTGTTTACTCGATAATCAGCTTCACACAAGATAAAGAAGTGTTGAATCAAATCGCGATAGACGAATGCAAAGCGTTACATATAGCACTTGACTTTATTGACCTGAAGGTCAGTAGAATTGTCAACAATTATTGTATTAGACCAAATAAGTACGTAAACAACAATAAAAACGTATAATTTATCCTTTATCTAATTTTACCTGTGAGGGGGACGGCCATTTTGCTGGGAGGTCATTTTCAAAATATTGAATGGTTTGGAATCATTTTCTGATAAAGAAGCGTTACCTAGGAGCGTCATTTTGTTAAATTTCGTGAAAATGAATTAGTACAAAGCAGTAACGAACGTGAATTGAAATTGATTGTAACAGCCGTAAACATCAATCTTATAAATACGACTGTATAGATAAAGTATGTGGTAAACTTCGGCACCATTTGCAGCTAAAATATTCGTATTTTCCACAACAATCAGCTGGGAGTTCACTTTCTTTATGTGTAAATTTTATGGAGGGTCATTTTCTAAAAAGCAATGATGAATTTGGGGTGGGGCGGGGGGAAGGGGACGTTGAAAAACTCTTTACCGTCAAGTCACCCGAAATTCTTATTTATGTGGCTCGAAATTTTATCATGCTCAACAATATTCTGGCATCCCTATTACCATTTGCCGCGCTTGTTTCTCCTGATTGAAGATTATAGAACAAGAAATTTTACTCATTTATCGCGCTTGTTTCGTTGTTAATCGAAGATTAAAGAGCGAGATATATTACACATTTATACCGCTTTTTTCGTCTCATCATCGTTTAAAGAACGAGATATATTAACACACACTATTTATTAAACAAAAATTAATTTGTTTGTCTGTGCACTTCACCTGATAAAATTCGGGCGACATGACTGCGCATTTCGGGCGACTTGACCGGTTACCTGAAAATCTTCTAAGCTTTCTCAAAACGGCCGGCCCGCACTCACAGGTAATAAACTATCAGCCCCTAAATTAACGGTGTCTATTTGTCTAAGATGCTATTTTTTGAAGTTAAACAATTATTGTAACAATCAGTAGAAATTTATCACGATAAATTGACACAAAATTTTATTTTTACTTTCTGTGAGCTACACGCAGGCCTGAGCTACACGATTATGATTATATTATTTTTCATTTTAACGTGACAAAGTTAGATGAGTAACTAAACCAACGGTCTGTGATACAGCAAAACATCTGTAAAAATAGCTTCAAGAAAAATACAGATTCCCACAAAGTAAAGAAACCACAGTTTTTCCGTAGGTAGTTCCCCTGTTTTGGACCAGTACACCTGTGACAAACACACAAAACAATTGTTGATTAGGCCAATTAATGAAAAGATAACGACTATGTTTTTCAAGGTAGGCTAGTGTTCAGTATTTTCTAAATAACTGAATACAACATCTGCATGTATCAAAAACCAAAACAACAATAGGTGTACATTTCAACCTTATTTACTTTCCTTTACAGCAATTTAACCCATTCGCTCCTGGGGATACTTTTTTAAGGCTAATCGAGCTGTGTTCTTGTCACTATCTGATTATTAAGAACAAAACTGCCCCAAACGCGGTTTTCTGTTCCAGATGCAAAATGTCAGCTCCCAAAGCTCGGGCTCACATAAAAAGAAAAAATTCGAGATTGGGTTTAAAAGTGGCAGAGCAGTCTCGACTATTTAACGATTATTCCTCGAGCCCAAATGGGCTCTGAGTTAATAGCTAATGGGTGATGAGTCAATGGGGAATAATTGTTTTAGTAAAATCCGACTAGTTGGTCAAAAATATGGAGACAAAACAACTTAAAGCAAGACTTTCATCTTTTTTTGCCACCAAAAATCCGTCGCTTTTCGCTACTAGTGAGCTATAACATATAGCCTAGTAGTAGCTCAACCAATCAGAATGCAGCATTGATAATAGATCACTAGCTGGATTTTACTAATATCTTTTATCTTCTTGTCCTTTTTTTCTGGGCACTTATAAGGCTTCATTTGAACGGGAAAAGTTTTGTGGAAAGCTTTTACGATCGTAAGATTGGAAGGAAGAGGAGATGAGTAATGGCACTAGATTTTCATTGGAATTTCAGCATCAAGTTTTTATGGCCTTCAAATTTTTCTCCAGCTTCCTTGACTGAATCATGGTCATTCTGGCATGCTTTGAACAATCTCTGTTAACCTTGCACAAGTTAGATCACAAAGTTGCCCTTGACTGCTAAAATTGATGCCATCACAAGTGGTAGAAGGAAAGTGGATCTGCACAGGTGATTACGGGCAGTTCAGGAGCATGGGTCAATGGTTCCTCTTGCATGACATCACCCTCCAATCCCACCCCCTGTACCCTGTACCCTCTTTAAAAGCGCCAAAAAACAACTTTAGAACTGTCCCACAGATGATTATTCCAGGGAAACTTGTTCATCAAGAAAGATAATGTTAGAGGCAAGCTACAATGTAGGGGAGAAGATAACTGACCAATGTATGAATTAGTATCATTATTATTATTTATTGTTATTATTATTATTATTATTATTATTAGTCATCAATGTATAAATGTAACTTCAAAAACTTCATAAAGAAAAAGCAAAAGAACTTATTAACAGGTGTCCTTATATCTGATAGGCACGGCTAAACTTTATGTCCAGTTTTTTAGACCAAAATAACCCCAAAACTAAATATTAGTGCAAACATGAGTTAAATATTTAAGATATTTTGAAGCCATTCAAAAAACTTGCAGAACGTAATGTATTCGCCTCAAGTTTTTAAACCTGATAATACATGTACACTCCAGCTCGTTTTTCAAACAGCACAAGCACTTACCAACACTACTTCAACCATGCCAATAGCTGCAAAAAAATTAAAATAACAGGAAAATTGAGATCCTCACTGAAAACTGAATTTCTAATTTGATAATTATTGTTATAATGTTTATTTCCAAGATTAATCTCTATGTGTAAATAACCTGTCACCATCATTTCCATCATTATCATCATCACCAAATCATCATCATAATTAATTATCATTATCATCATCAATATTACTTTATAATATTATAGTAGTTTAGCTGTTGTCTACTTGTGTGAAGAAGGGAATTTAAAGGAAGTTGACGATAATATATCTAACTGTCTGATGGTTTTTAACCCTTTAAGCCCCAGTATCCACATACAAATTCTCCAAGCTGATCTCCATTCATTTCCTTCATGAATGAGTTGAGGGAATTTGATAAAAGATCAGGGCATTTTCCCTTAGGTGATCATTTTATTAATTCTCATAACCTAATCTCTTGACATTGTATGGATATCGTTAGGAGAAAATTGACGTTTGTCACTATTGGGACTTACAGTAAAGGGTTAACTAAAATACTTACAAATGATGCTGACTCCTAATAAAATGTAAGTGGAATCTACTATAATGCCTCGGTATAATGACAAAATTGTGGTTATCTGTTGAAACAGAAGAAAAGAGCAGCAATCAGGACACATTTCAGTTCTAGGCAAATAAAAGACAGAAAATTGGTCCAAAACAACATTTAACGGATTAGGAAAACGTGTTTGCACCAAAGATGGTTTAAGTTATGCAACAATAATGATCACGCTTAAGTCACATGACTGACTGTTTCTGATACATACCCTGTGCATGTACAAACGCTTAAACAAGACATAATGCATGTTATGAAAGTGAGACCAAGTGACATCAAAACAGGGAATACAAAGAAAAGTTAATACAATCCATTGAGCTATTGTTGATGCTGGATACCCAAGCCAAGACTAGGATTTCATGAACACTGTAAGTTTGTTACATCCAAGAGACTACATCTTTTGTAAGGGATAGCATTACATTATTATAAACACTTTAAAGGGGGGTTACATAGAACCAATGACACATTTTTCCCTTAACCATTTCAGTCCCAGAGGTAAGTATGGACACAAGAAATGAAGTTGTAGCTGTTAAGTGAACCTCCTTATGTTGCTATTTTAAGGGTGAAATGGTTTATTGTATGTACTTACTGTGATCATAATGATGACGGCCGCAATGAACAGGTACATGACAAGTTTCTAAATAAAAATAAAAAGAATGCACTGCTTATTTTTATACTTGTATGCACATGACCATTTGAGCTCGACTTGTAGGCAAGTCTACGAACCTCTGTATAACGAATGATGAGCTTCGCCACAGAAATGGTACAATATAATTATGAAAAAGAGCCTTGACGTAATGAAACCTTTTAATTTATAGAGAACATAATTTATTTTGCCAGTCCCTTGGGCTGTTGCATTGAGGTTCTGCTGTAGCAGTCTTTTCTTTGTGGAACACTGGCATTACTAGCGCAATTGACCTGGTGAGGATAACTGACAGGCAACTGACACATTCTTCGTTTCTGATGACAGTTTTAACACTTTGCAGTATTTTGCAAATTCCTAGGTGGTAATAAAAATTTACCAAAGTAGATTGTTGCAAGCATAGCCCAGTAGGTAACATGTGCGAAACAGCGCCAAAATCCTTGTTCTAGGTCCCAAGCTGTGTACCAGGATTTGAGTGTGCCGCATGATTGGCCTTATAGAGGTCATAATTTGTCGATTTGCCAGTTGGGTTGATAGGAAATTTGAAACACACTTCCGGTAATTCATTGAGTCTGTTGGGATCTCAAATTCCCAGGTGGTAATAAAAATTTACCAAAGTAGATTGTTGCAAGCATAGCCCAGTAAGTAACATGTGCGAAACAGCGCCAAAATCCTTGTTCTAGGTCCCAAGCTGTGTACCAGGATTTGAGTGTGCCGCATGATTGGCCTTTTAATAGAGGTCATAATTTGTCGATTTGCCAGTTGGGTTGATAGGAAATTTGAAACACACTTCCGGTAATTCATTGAGTCTGTTGGGATCTCAGATCTCCGCGCTAATTTGCAGACGTTACTAACCAGGATTAGATAACGTCTGCAATGCAGACTATTGCAAGGGCTCCCTTTCTTTCTCCGCTCCTAGCACTCCTGTCTCCTTTCGAGTGCCACACGGGTGTCTTCTCGAGACTCCCCTAAATCACAGGCTACTGAATCAGCTGATCTCTCATAAACATCTTGAAGGAAAGGTTTATAACTTAGAAAAGTTTGCTTTAGAGAGTTGGTATATTGAGCACGTACACGTAGTCTGTGCGGGAAATCAGTGTCATGTAGAGAAAAAAAACGTACAGCTGTAAGCTAGCTTACAAAGCTTGAACTCCTTGAACAGTCACAATCACGACAGATATGACCATATCACGTCAGAGACTATCAGAAAGTATAATTCACACGTACCTCCTTCGGACTCTTCCCTTTTTCTTGAAATAGGGCTTCATTGTATTCATTATTAGGAATCTGTTGCGAAGAATAAGGCTGGGTTCCCTCTAGAAGACCTTTCCTGTCTTCTTCCGCCATGTTGATTCTTACGACACAGTTCCGACAATAACCGAAGATGACCGAACCTGTTCCGAATCCAGTCTCACACGACAAATTGACAGATCCAACTGGATTCAGCACATGTATTTTCAAGATGGAGGGATCTGCACCTCTGTATCATGAAGTTTCTCCTTTTACGGTACGATCAAAGACTTCAATTCTTAAATTTTTAAAATAATTTTGAATAGATCGTCTCTGAACTAGTTTGCTCGCTCTACATCAACGAACGTACAGTGATGCGTGCAGCTGCGCATACTCTTTGTACGAACGTTAAGCTTCAACTTTTCTTTCGTGTCAGTCGAACGAATAATCAAGCTTACCGGGGACAATCGATGATATATCGCTGAGTATGTTAGTCTTTTTGTTGATATTTGGCTGAACTTTGGAATACCCCAGCACACTGTTTTTTTTGTCTGAACGGGAGAAAGAGTAGGCGGGGGGATGGGGAGCGGCAATTCTCTGTAAGGTGGGTGGTTATGTGCGCAGATGCCCTTGAAAAACTGGAAGGGTGTTCCACAGGGTATATGCCTCTGGGATTACATTAAGTATATTCAAACTCAATCAGTGAATAGCTATCAAAAGCATAGACGTAAATAACAAAATAGCAAAGAGAAAAACGACTTGAGGTTTCCTGATATTTCAGGCAGACAAGCGGTCCTTCTTCAGGGGATTTGATTAAACCTCAAGTCGCTTTTCTCTTTGCTATTTTTCATTTATGTGTATATTTTTGTCTTGGATAAAACAGCAGGATTTGGCTGTCGTCATTTTATATAAAAAGTATCAAAACCATACCCATCCACGGCACTGCATATTTATTATATCCCTCTGTAAGGGAGGGCTCTGTTATGGTCAATGTAGAGGGGCCATTTTCTACTATGCATCTCTCGGTTTTCTTTCACAGCCAAATCAAACCACCCCTTAGCTACATACATGTATAATATATCACTGCCATCCCTTCTAGTAAAAAAAACAATACCAACAAAAGTAAAATCTTTCTTGTGGTCTGGGTCAACTTAGATAGACAAACTTGAATAAATTCAAGTGTATTCTAGGCTGACCGTACTCAGAGATCCTGGGGGAGCTATTACCAGCCAGATAGATATTTAAGGAAAATTGTTGCATACTTCTCAAGAGACCCCCCCTTCCCACCCTGCACTTACTGCTTCTGAGCTAAGAGAAAAATGATGGTCTCCCACTTATTTTTCCCTTACTTTGTTGTGAATGACTAAAGTGGTTTTCACTTGACTGTCGTAAAACCAAAACCAAAGTAAATACACTAGCCAACCAAAGGGCATAGTAAAACCAAAACCAAACCAATTCCTCAATTACTTTCGACAGTCAAGTGAAAACCACGCTATAAGGAATGATCATAAAGTTATGTGGTGTTGTAACTTGCTATGACTTTTCTTTACAGAAATTAATGCTAAGAATTTTGGCTGCTAGTGCAGGACTGGTTGTATTGGTATGTACAGTATTGTGTTGGGTGATGAAGCTTTTAGAGTGCGACTACTGTAACCAGGGTCACTTAGACAAAGTTGAACAATCAGTTACAGGAAAATAACAATACATTCCAAGAAAGTTGGTTGTGGGCCAATCAGCAGCTCAAGAAAAACAATAAGTTATAAGAAGCACAAAATTTGAAGAATGATAGCTAACAAATGTTTTTCGAGAAAGCAAAGTGTTTCAAAAGATAATGTTTGTTTCCTTGAAAATTTACATAACACCCAGGAGATATTACTTGTTTGACACAAGGGGGTATTTTGTCATCTACTGGCAATGTCTTGGCTACGATTGCTACACTTTCAAATAACATGCAACTTCAAGTCAAAATTATGACTAATGTTTACGCTTTTTGCCTCCATCAGTCACTCTCATGAACCTCTCAGGAAACACTGTCTTTCCTCAGCGGGTTCAAAGGGTCATGTCAGTAGGTTGTGATTGGTTGATTTCAATCCATGTTGTTTATTTCATTTCCTGGTAATTATGATTGACAACTAACTTCCTCGGAAAGTATTGTTATTTTCCTGTAATTCGATTGGTCAACTTTATCTAGGAGGCCCTGGTTATAGAAGTCGCACTGTAATTCCTTTAGATGTATTTAATGTACTTATATGAAAACTAAATAATTGGCTGAAGGTTTTGCAGTGTTATAAGTTGGCACAATTTTATGTAATTTGGAAACATAACCCAGGAATTATTATTAATTGATGCAAATGATTGTGAATTATCCTCTCTTTGCTTTTTACAGGTCACACTAATAATCAGCTTTGTCAAGGCTGCCGACGACTCTATGATGTATCTTATAGCTGTCAACATGTTAAGTAAGTACAAAATATAGGTGTGCAATACATAGAGGATATTACACGGTGGCATGAAGATATGAATTTTTTTTTCGAGTGGCAAAACAATATTTTACGAATGAGCGCAGTGAGTGAGTAAAATATTGTTTTTGCCACGAGAAAATAAAATTCATATCTTCATGCGGCCGTGTAATGTTCTTTTTATTATATAGACAAAAAGACATCGATAAAATAATAGAGGGAAATTACCAAAATTACGTCATCGATAAACTCACGTGTGAGATTATGGAAAATAAACTCCTCGGGTCCCGGATGTAGTTTTTATGAATTTTACGAGTGGTATATTTTCCAGTAAAACACTCGTGTCTATATGATAAAGTATAATATTGGTTTTTTCACCTCTGAAACAATTGTTTTTTGATATGTCAAGGGTGATAACATCAAAACAGTGTTAATTGCAATGCAGGCACAGTTAGTTTGAGCACTTTAAAAATTAACAATAATGTTGGTTTCCTTTTGATTTCAGTAAGCAGTGTGATTGGAGGTGTAATTGTAAGTATGATCATAGTGTGACTTAAAGTACATAACCTCTGCATGAGAAAGTTTTCATGGGCCTTAAAAAGCCATGAATCAAATGGCAGCCCAGGTTGTTTAAACAGTAGTTGCCCAGGTCAGTTCCCTGTGCATTGTACACAGGGTACCAGGCCTCTTGTAGGTGTAATCAAATGGTGACAAGTCATATAAGGGAATAATTTAAAGGCACATTTTGTCCAAATCCCATTAATTTTCTCCAGCCTTTTGGGTGAGGGAAATTATTGGGATTTGGCTAAAAGTTCAGAATTTTTTCAGAATCTTACAACAAAATACCTTGTAGAATCCTTCTTGATGTGCCCTTTTGTGTGTTTAGGTTTTCTAACCTGTCTTTTAATGCCCTGACATCTTCATTCATAACATTTTGAAACTTTGTCTCCATCTTATAACATTCAGTTTTTTCAGTACCAAAAGTAATGTTTACTGTTTTTCATGTTTTCAGGCATGGTGGTATCACAAAGGAATCATAGTAAGTAGATTATTTTATCAACTTGTTATGTCACAGTTAATTTTTTTTCCTTCGGTTTATTTTTGTTTTTCCTTTGTCTCAAATTCATAAGCATTCAATACCATACCTAAAAATTAAAACAATCATTTAAAAAAAAACATTTTGCCCAGACAATGATTATTACATCAACAACAAACCCTTCCGTGCATGTTGTCAAAAGATTATATACTTATTTTTATGTAAATATATTATGTATTCTATTTATTTATTTATATATCTATTTTTTTATATCGTTAACTCTACAGGAAGCCAAGAAAGTTGCATTCATGGCATTTGTAGGAGTCTGTATAATTTTCCAAGCCATTATATCTGATGTTTATGTTTATAACAAGAAGGCTGTCACATCGTCACCAACATTATCACCAACATCGTCACCAGCTCCCCCACCTACAAACAGTAGCTTCAGCATATGACGCTAATGAAAACTTGATAAAAACAGTGGACAGGAGAGACTTTTCAAGATTAAAGAACAGACCCAAATATCCCTAGAGGAAAGCTAACTAACTAAATAAATAAAACCTTGCCAGAATCGTTTTACCCAAACGATAAATTAACGACAATGTAACCACAGATTTTGAAACCCAAAGAGTCTTCCGATCATCCATGTCACTTTGAATTTGGAGTACTCCCTGAGGATATAAGTGGGTTAGCAAGAAAAGGCGCTGCTCATTTTCCTTTGTCAATATTAGGATATGCTAACAATGAAATATCTTTATTGGCATAATAATGTTCATCCTGCTAAGCAAGTTTCATTACAATGGAATAGTATTTGCATGAGTCTTAAAATGTGCAAGTTCGTTAAAATGAAGTGAGAAATTAGAATTTATTTAATTTACTATAGTTAGAGATATTTTTTCAAATTTTATGCTGTGTCCAGGTGTTCAGATGTGGAAGTGTGGTGCGCCATGTTGTGTCCACCCCCTCTCTGTTCTTCTCACTTGTCTTTGTGCATGCGCCATCTCAACAATCTGAATGCCTGGAACAGACTGGCTGTGTCTCAGCATAGCATAGCTCTTTCATTAGATTTTCCCATTCACTTTACACAGGTGAAAATTTACATAAATAATCCGAACTGGAGTGTCCTTTCTCCTTGTTTTCTTTCAGGTTTAGCAACTCTAGCATAACCTTATAAATGAATCAGGAGTTCTTTTATTCGAAATGAACATAATTGTATCAACCTTGTAGAAGACAATAATTATTCGTCAATTAAACGAACAATAACCAGACGTGTAATAGAGTGTACTTCTGTATTGTTCATCCAATCGAATTGCAAACCCCGGAGAGCCATTTCACCAAAGAGCAGCATAGCTAGCTGATAGAAGTGAGTAATCTCTTGTCAATATTTTAATGAAAGGACATTGGAGAAAATCCATACCACCAGTCACTAGCTACCAACAATAGTTTCCTTATCGCCATCGCCATCAGAAACACTCATGATCACTAACCTCTTTCAACAGAATTTTAAATGGCAATGCGTGTTGCCTCCCTTTAGGGACTTGTCAGAAATTAGCAAGGGGGAGGGGGTGGTGGAAACAGAGGGAGGCTCACAACTTTTTGAGACTGCAGAAAAGGGAGGAGGCATGAAAAATGGGCCGTTAAAAGGGGGAGGGTCATGCAAATATGTGTCCGTGATCATGTGGAGGTTCACCCACATAAGAAAAAAGAAGTTCTTTATTTTGTAAAAAATCCTGGGAGAAATAGGAGAGTCGAGTGATCAGCTGTCAGAATCAGAGTCGGAATCTTAATGCTGTCATCTAAAATGTATGTATATAGCATTACAAAGAACTAGATTTTGTCATTTATACAAGAGGGGGAGGGTCATGATATTTTAGGCCAGGGTCTAGGGGAGGGTTAGCAAATTTCACGCCCATTGCAGGGATGGGTCACCTCATTTCCGAACCCAAATTTAAAATTCTCACCCCCCCTCCCCCCTGCTAATTTCTGACAAGTCCCTTAGATCAAATACAGATTGGATTCTGATAATAAAATTCGCGAAAACCAGTAGGAATTTTCATTGTAAATAAGACAGGCACAAATTTCTCCTCAAAAAGGATCTAAGTGGTCCCTACCATACAACTCTTATGTTTCAAAGATTTATAACTTGGCAATGATTATAGTGTTTTAAAGCAGCCCTTGAGCGAATTACAGCAAGGAGCACAAAAGTGTTACCCGCTTTTGATTTATTCACATTCTTTTGTGCAAATTTAATCCAATCAGAAGCCAGCTGGAAACTTTCCTCGACTTCTGATTGGTTAATGTCTGCATGAAAGAATGTGAGTTAATTAAAGAAGGTCATACTTTTGGGCTCCTTGCTGAAAAACCCTTTTTTTGTCCGGACTTGGTTTTTTTCTATTATTTTTCGTTTATTCTTTTAAGAAAAAGGGAGTGTATTAAAATACACTCCCTTTTGATTCTTAACAAAAAGCCCACTTTAACATGCAACATAGTTTGTTCAAGACGACTTTGTTTCATTGATACCCAAAAGACATTTCGCGACCTGTTCGGAGACTTTAAGACCAAGACTTTGTTCTAACCAGAGCCAGGCTCCTCCCGGATTACACTCTAGAAATATGACGTCATCACCGCGTTCCAAGAAGTCGTAAGCACCAAATCCCAGGCCGGCTTCTCGGTGAAATTTCAACAGCCGATCTTTGAGGTCCTCCGATATCTGTCAGAGGAAAAACAACTTGAGTTTGCATTGGAGAAGCAAGCTCCCTTCACGTCATTTAGATACACAATGGTTTTAGTGCAAACATCAGAAAAGCCCACAGCTAACAGAATGTTCAGCTTTCTAAATATAAAAGGAAGAAATGTTCTCTTTTGTAAAGGTTCAGAAATCCACCCCTCTATTTCTCGTTCTTAGCCAAACATTTTTTTTTTCAAAGTATTTTGTATGTATCAACCTCGTCCCCACGGCGCTTTTCTCTGGCTTTGGAAAAAGCGGAAAAGCGCCGTGGGGAGGAGGTTGTGTATGTATCTTTTTGCAAAATGAGTATTATCAGGTCACTGTTTATTGGAGTGACAATTGGTTCTCAAACTAGGTAGTGCAACCTCATCCCCAGGGTCCTTTCCTACTCGGCCCTTACGAGAGGACCCTGGGAACGAGGTTGTAGTTGATGCTGACCCTTAAATGATGAGAAAAACATTTTCACCTGTACTTCACTATAAAGTTCTTCTTTGTCCTGGCAACGCCTCCAATCTAAGCGATCCTTTTCCCTTTCTAGGATCTGCGAGGCAATGCGAGCTACAAACACTTCGCATCCAACCACAGTGATGCGCAAGTCTGATCTTCTCTCCACCAGCTCCTGATAAATGGCTGGAGACTGGGCAATGCTATCGTGGGAGTGCGATGGAAATTCTCTCGTTATCTCTGTAGTGTAAAGAAGCCTGTCTGGCGGCAGGAAGAGAGGAGTTAGACTTTTGAATATAACACGTCCGTTTTCCACTTTGTCGAATAATTCTTTCACTGCCCCCGGGTTGTTTGTGATTGTTGTCTTTGGCACAGTCAGCCCAACTTTCTGCGCGAGTTGTAACTGAAATGGCTTGCTGTTCAGCAGTTCAGTGACGGCTACGGTGTTCAGCCATTGCGCATGCGGGAGGAATGCCTCTAAAGAACGAACTACCGATTTCCATTCCTTCAGTACAAAGTCTTTGGCAATGAGACCTTTAGAAGGATTGTACAGCAAAGAATAATTATTGCAGCCATAATTTCAAACAAACATGATGTGAAGTTGATTGTACGGTTGGCTTACTTTTAACATTTTGGAAGAGCCCAAATGTGGTCTCTTCGAAGTACCAGAGTATAGAAAAAGACTCTACCAGAAATTTCACTGCTTACAGAATTTTCTTCCACTGAATAATAACGAGACGTTCGCCAGAACTATACGAAAAACTCATAGTGTTTTCGTATTTTGTTTGTGTTAAATTTTTGCTAAAACCTTAAAGAACTAGGAAAAAATGAACGTTTAATGAGCGCGCATAATTTTGCACCAACTAAAATAAATATAATTTTTCATTAAATTAGCGTATAGAAATGAATAGAAAATGACGCTAGCGAAATTTTTAGCTAGATCCATACCCTGGAGGTCTTCATCAGCGGAAAGGACGGCAGGCTTCCAACGGTACCAAACGGATTTGATCGACTCAGCAGGGATTCGTTCGCCATCCACAACTATAAGGCAGCTAGAGCTTAACTCACACGAACTATCGACAGTTATTTCGATCAAATGACCGCCACAGAGTGGATTGAAAAGAACAATTCGAGCCTCATTGTCAAGCAATTTAACATTTTTTTCCACTTCTTGAATGTGGGGGTCTTCGGCGCTTCCAATACATAGAATTATAGTTGCCATGATATAATTTTAATGCCCAAGAACTTCAGGGTTACCACAGAAGTCCAATGTTTAATGCAGGAATTTCTTGGAATACTGACGTGACCCGGAAACAGATAGTTGCCTACCGTACCCCTGAATAAGACAATGGACATTGATGAAGACATATAAAGATCTACTTTCATTATTCTTTATGATCTCTAAGCCTGGGAACGAAGATTATATAGGATGAATTGATCCACCTTTATGCAGACAGTCAAAGTCAATGCACTTTTCCGCGTAAGCTCGAGGAAGAGAGGACGTACGTACTCCAGAGGCAGTGTCTGGGTCCAAAAATCACTCCTCCCCCCCCGCTCCAAGTCAGTAAGCAATCTTTCTGTTTCATTTTCAAATAAAATAATTATATTCTCAAGCCGGGATATTATGTAAATCATTATCACCAGAAGGTCCTTTATTTCCAAGAACTTTCCGAGTATATAAATATTTTGTTCAAGCTCGTTGTTTCAGTCAGCGAAAAGAAATGCCATATTTTGTAAACGTTTCAAAGAACCGAGTAACTATACACTAGCCTAATTTGCCTTTATGTTCAAACACCGTTAAACACTTGCCAGCCACTATTCTAGACTGCGAGCAGTCTCTTAGTTTTCTTTTTATTCACGGAGATCAAGAGCACGTGTGAGCAGCGAGCTGCAAAGTCGCGAGGAACGAGGGCGACCGCTTGCGGTTTACCATTGATGATTCTTGCAGTAAAAAAGAAACTCAGTCAGCTAGCTAGCTAGAGACGTGACTAATCATGATTGCAGAATTCCGAGAATTGTTCCTACCTGTATTGTTTCTTAAACACGAAACCTGAAAACGCTGTGTCATCAAAACATTTCCTAGAAAATTTCGTGTTTATAAGTAAAATCGAAATAAAATTATTTAAATACCTGTTGAGCGGGGATATTATGTAAATCATTATCACCAGAAGATCCTTTATTTCCAAGAACTTTCTTAGTATATAAATATTTTATTCAAGCTCGTTGTTTCAATCCACGAAAAGAAATGCCATATTTTGTAAACGTTTCAAAGAACCGAGTAACTATACACTAGCCTAATTTGCCTTTATGTTCAAACACCATTAAACACTTGCCAGACACTATTCTAGACTGCGAGCAGCCTCTTAATTTTCTTTTTATTCACGAAGATCAAGAGCACGTGTGAGCAGCGAGCTGCAAAGTCGCGAGGAACGAGAACGACCGCTTGCGGTTTACCATTGATGATTCTTGCAGTAAAAAAGAAACTCAGTCAGCTAGCTAGAGACGTGACTAATCTTGATTGCAGAATTCCGAGAATTGTTCCTACCTGCATGTATTGTTTCTTATCATAATAAAGGCCACAGGAGTCATTTAAAAATACGAAACTGAAAACGCTGTGTCATCAAAACATTTCCTAGAAAATTTTTGATGATAAAGCGTTTTCATTTTCGTGTTTATAAGTAAAATCGAAATAAAATTATTTAAACACCTGTTGAGCTCAAAGCCAAACTGCTCTGGAGAATTATATTTTAACCCGGCATGAAATCGGCTTAAAGTAAGCAACTTCTACACTTTTAGAGCCTCTCAAGATTGAAATGATGGCTATGTTTTCCATATTCTCCTCTAGACATCATGCCGACCATTAAGGCATATAATCGGTGAAAAGCCGGATATACATATTTCCCTGAAATGCTGCCGACAAACTGCGCGTGCTTATACTGTCAGTTACTTAACAATACCAATCCTTGGTTTTGATTGGCTAATGAATACCAAAAATCAGAATCCTTTGGTTGTTTTTGGGCTTTGATTGGACTTGATTGGCCACTTATTTTCGTACGGCATAGTTTAGAGGCAGCAGTAGAGTTTTAGCTCATTTTCAAAACTACTAAACGGCGATTGCTAAGACACAATTCTGGGTGAGCTCGCGAATCTCTTGGTTGAGCATTTTTTCAAGCACTAAGTTAAAAAGAAAAATGTCAGCATCAGGGAAGGTATGTACCAGTTTACTTTTATCTTCAACAAAAATACTATTCCTGTTTCGCATGCGGTTTCTTTACTCACCAAAGTTAAACGGTATTTGTCAGGTTGTGATTCCGACGGGGGAGGATATCAGAAAGTCCACCGCTAAAAATCCAGCAGAAAATGCGAAAGGTAAAAAATATTTCCCTGACAAAACGAAGATTTTTTTTCTTTCAAAATCTTTAACGAACCCGAACCCTCGCAGAACTCGTTCTCTACCTTTGCTTGTCTGATAACAACATTTGCGTTGAATTTAGTCCACTTTCACCCGGTATATATATACCGCGTTGAATAGTCTTTCATATAATGATCTGGCAGAGCTTGGCAGAATACTACTGTCTAATAGAGTCAGAGTCATGTTTTAGCGGTCCGTTTCCTGTAAGTCTCTTGGTTTCAACAGAAACTGTTTGTTCCTATCATTATAGTTACACAGGGAATTATATCCCTTCACGATCTTGATTTTCTTTGTCTCTTGAAAGCAGCCTCATCAGTCTAAATTCCTTTTGAAAACAGTTTCTTTCATTGAATTTCAGTCCCATTGTCATGCGCAGTTGAGGCACGGAACATTCTGCCTGCAGCGTTCTCATTGGTGGAAAAAGCTACTGACCCAGGTTCCCGAATTATACAAGCTTCTCACACATTTATGGAGTCAAACGACTGATGAAACTCGTCAACAGAGAAAGCTTGAACAAAACAGCTGCTATGAAAATAAACAATAAAACACAAATGTAATCACAACTACCTAATTGGCGCTTAATTTCGGGGGGTTTTATTTTCGCGATTTCAATAGACAAAATATTAAAAGAGAGCATTAAATTTCGCGATTCAAGCATTTTCAACTTCATTTTAGTTTTCATAAAAATTTGATCTGGGGGTTCTAGATAAACTGTAGCAAGCAAAACGCATAATTAAAAACTAACTTTTAAGGTAAGCTGGGAATCTTTGCAAATTAACGTACATTATTTCACAACAGATACAAAATGGAACTTAGAGGCTGGTCGTTTATGACCTGTGAGCAAAACTGCGAACTATCGACAGTTATTTCGATAAAATGACCGCCACAGAGTGGATTGAAAAGAACAATTCGAACGTCATTGTCAAGCAATTTAACATTTTTTTCTGCTTCTTGGATGTGGGGGTCCTCGGCGCTTCCAATACATAGAATTATAGTTGCCATGATATAATTTTAATGCCCAAGAACTTCAGGGTTACCACAGAAGTTCAATGTTTAATGCGGGAATTTCTTGGAATACTGACGTGACCCGGAAACAGATAGTTGCCTACCGTACCCCTGAATAAGACAATGGACATTGATTAAGACATATAAAGATCTACTTTCCTTATTCTTAATGATCTCTACGCCTGGGAATGAAGGTTCAGGAGTACCAAACGATTGTTTTCTGTGAATATCTGTTCGGAGAAGCTAAAATTGCCTAGAATTTTCTATAACTTGAGGAAGGCTAAAAATGACCGCTCCATCCATGTAGAATTTTCCAAGCTTACCTAATAAATTGCCTACGATTTTCCGAAGTTTAATGTTTCTCATTTCACTCCCCACGTGAATCTACTTTTCGTACAGAAAGGAAGCCTAAAACTTTTGGAATCGAAAATACGATGCAGAGAGGAATCAAAAAAAAATATCCCTTCCGCAAAACTTTAAATTGCAGCTACAATTTCTGGGAAAACATTAATGAAGCCCTTGTAATTTCAAAAAGACTCAAGTTGCCGTAGGATGACCGAACAGATATATTAAATTTTTTAGCGCCACTTTCAATACATTTCTAGGGATATAAAAGCACTCCGCATAGCCTAAACAGAGTTGCTAATGCAGTTAGGAGGAAACCGTCGTTGCGTGCCTCTGGAGATTAGGATGAGTTGATCCACCTTTATGGAGTCAAAGTCAAAGCACTTTTCCGCGTAACCTCGGGGAAGAGACTGACATACTAACTCCCTCCCCTCCCCCCTCCAACTAAGCAATCTTTCAGTTTCATTTTCAAGTAAATTATTTACATTTTCAAGCATATCATGTAAATCATTATGGCCAGAAGGTCCTTTGTTTCCAAGAACTTTCTTAGTTGGTAAATATTTTATTTAAGCTCGTTGTTCCAGTCCGCGAAAAAGGAATGACATATTTTCTAAACGTTTCAAAGAACCGAGTAACTATACACTAGCCTAATTTGCCTTTATGTTCAAACACCGTTAAACACTTGCCAGCCACGATTCTAGACTGTGAGCAGTCTCTTATTTTTCTTTTTTCATGGAGATCGAGAGCACGTGTGAGGGGCGAGCGGCGAAATCGCGTGGAACGAGGACGACCTCTTGCGGTCTACTACGATTCTTAGTATAAAGACGTGACTGATCTTGATTGCAAAATTCCGAGAATTGCTCCTACCGGTATTGTTTCTTATTATTGAAGTAACAAGAGTCATTTAAAAACACGAAACTGAAAACGCTGTTTCATCAAAACATTTCCCAGAAAACTTTCTGATGACAAAGCGTTTTCAGTTTCGTGTTTGTGAGGATCTCTTATATTTTAACCTTGATATCGGCTTAAAGTAAGCATTATCTACACTTTTACAGCCTCTCAAGTTTAAGATGACTACCTTGTTTTCCAGAAAATTTTTCTCCTCTAGACATTATGCCGACCATAAAGGCATATATTCGCTGAAAACCCGGATACACATATTTCCCTGAATTGCTGCCGACAAACTGCGCATGCTTATACTGTCAGTCACTTAGCAACTACAATCCTTGGTTTTGAGTTACTAAAGAACAACCAAAGTTGGAGTCCTTTTGTTGTTTATGTGGCCTTTGATTGGCTGATTATGTTGGCTGGCCCATTGCAAAGGATACAATTCTGGGTGTGCCTCCTAATTGAAAGTTGGTTGACCTTGGTTGGATCTAATTCTCTCGAGCTCGCGAATCTCTTGGCTGCCCAATTTTTCAAGAAAGAACTAAGTTAAACGATGTCAGTATCAGAAAAGG